ATAAGAGGAAAAGGAGAGGTTAGTGTGGAAGGGGCAGACAGAAAAATCTCCACACACAGGAGTCCTAAGTTCCCTGGATCTGTACATCCCCATCTCTCTGTAATGTTAATAGGAGTCTATATCAATATGTGGGACATTATGCATTATGTAGTATCATCTCATGCAGTATCTTACTTAGCTCACCATATTAGAGAGATGGCTGTTATTTATACTCTTTCCTCTTCTACGAGGAAACTGAAGCCCAGAGATAATTAGGCAACTCGTCCAGAGTCTCACAGGTAACGGTTGCAAATCTGGGATCCCAAAGCAAGACTGATTCCAACACAGCTGCTGCCACTTCCGTGGTCACTGCAGTTACGCAATGAAGCATCACAGACTTTCAGGGTGTGACCTCAGGTAAAGTAGTCAACCTGTCCTGGCTTCCCATTCCTCATCTGTTTAAATCAGGAACAACAGTAATGCAGCCTGAGTCATAGTGTTGTTGAATATGATTAACTGACTTAAATGCACTATGAAAAGTGTCCCGGGTCAGGGCAGATACAAGAATCAATGAATGAATGCATGGATAAGTGGAACAACACATCAATGTTTCTCTCGCTCTAAAATCAATAAATAAAAAACTTTAAAGCATTTTAAACGAATATAAAGTGAGATAGAAATAAAAGTTTTTCTTTTTGCTTGCAAAACCATCTGAGGCTGGTGGATGTCTGGCAGGGAGCAGGGTGTGTAGGTCCAGTACCAAGTACAGGCTAGGCTACGGCCCAACTCCATTGCCCCTCCCCTAGAACGTGCTAGGCATCGCCCTCCCCCCCCCTCCCCCGACCTCCTCCGGTGCTGTGCTTTTGTCTTAAGGAGAGAGGAAGGGTTACCAAACATCAGCTCAGATTTCCCAAAATTCAGGGAGGGGGTTCCTAAAACCTTTACTCCCAGCAACAGATTCATTCCTGCAGAAGAGAGAAGAGCTGGAAAAATATGGGGAAGGAGGAAAGGGAGAAGAGCGTGATGGAGAAATCAGGAAAAGCCTTAGGGAAAGACAGGCGCTCCAATCCCAGGCATGATGCCAAGTCGCCAACTTCTCCAACAAGCAACTCACCAGACCAGTTACAATTTCTCTGCAGGAGATACGAGCCCACCTGGGCTGAAAGGGCAGCCACAGACCCTTCCTCACATTTCCAGGAAACTAGCGATCCTGGGGCTGCCCCTCCCTATCAGACCAGCGCCCTCCCGGGTGGAAAGAAGGAAGAGGTCTGGGATTATGGGAGGTTCCCACACCGTGGATATGTAATATTTTAAGACATCTGAGGATCACACCCCTTCAGACCCCTACCCATCTTTTCCATGACCTGCGTTTCAACGGCCTCAGCTCCCAACCCAACCCACGGAGAGTAACTGGGGGTAAAGTTTCTCCTAGATGCGGACGCGGTAGCCTGCTTCTCCGAGTTGGGAGGAGAGACAATTCGGCCCAGAGGAGTGTCTGCTTAGAGCCTGGGGTGGGAGGAGAAAGGACTGGATTTGCACCCATCACAGCCACTGGGAGAACAGGGTGTTGATACGGAGCCCTGGGCAGCAAAGCGGCAGATCCCGGAGCCTGGGGACAGGGCCACGATGCTTGTGCACACTCCGGGGAAGGGCGGGCACGTGGGCATCCCCGCGCTCGCTCGCTAGCTCTCGGTCAGCTTCTGTTCCCCTTCCTCAGCTCTCAGGATGTCGTGTCTCTCGGGTCTCCTCCTCCCCATGCGCGGCCGCCGGGAATCTTCCTCTCTTCCGCGGTTCCTCCCGCGTACTCTGCGTCCGGATCCTACCTCCAAATCCAGTCCTGGCAGCCCGCTGGGTCCCGGCCTCCGCCCCCCCCGGTCTGCGGTCTCCCGCTCAGTCTCTTTGGACTACTCCGTCCGAACCAGGCTCCGCGCATCCCAGCTCGCCCCCTCGGACGGGACTCAGCCCTGCGCCACCCTCCCCGCCGGTTGGTTTCTCCCGCTCCCCAACTCTGGTCCGCCTGGCTAGCTCCCGCTTTGCCGCGCTCCTTGACTCTCGGTCCGGGATTGGGTTTGCCCTCGCGTCCTGGAGCCGCTTCGGGCAAAGCCCGGTCTCTCCAAGGGTTCTGTCCTCAGCATCCCCCTTCCGCCCCCGGCCTCAGTGCCCTCTCCCGGGGCTCTGCCCCGCCCGCCTCGGCTCCCCTTCTCGGGCAAGTCACTCCTGCCCGGGGTCCGCCCCTCGTGCCCGCTTACTCCCTTCTTGCCCTTCCCGGGGCTCGGTCCGCAGCCGCACAGAAGCGGGCGCCCTCGCTCACCAATGCTCGGCGCGGGCAGCAGCAGCAGCAGCGGCAGCAGCAGAAGCCAGGGCCGGCGCGGCGCAGGCGGGCAGCGCGGGGGCGCGGCGCGCGGAGCAGCCATGGGGCTCTCGGTCCGCTCGACTCGGCGATGCGCCGCTCCGGGGCCTCTCGCGGCTCACAGCGTACCGCGGGGCCGGCGCCGGGGCCGGGGCCGGGGCACCGGCCGGGGCCGAGCCCGGGCGGCGGGGGGCTGGGGCCACATGCCTGCCTAGCAGCTCCGCGGGCGCCGGGGGAGCGCCGCTTGCGCCATCTTGCACCTACCCCGGCGATCTGTCAGCCTCTCCCGGGGTGCGCGCTGCGCACTCACACTGCCCGCGCCCGCCCCGCCCTCCTCCCTCCGCCCGCCGCCTGCCGCCCCCCTTCCTTCCCCTCGGTCCCCTCCCCCAGCCCCTCTCCCCGGAGGCCGGGTCTGGGGAACAAAAGAGCCGGCGAGCGCTTTAAGCGGCCGGACATTCCCGGCTGCTCGGCGGACGCGCCCCCTGCGCTTTGAACTGTGGCTGGAGCGGCCGGCGCCGTCCCAGGCTGCAGCCCCGTACCCACCCCCGCTTGGGCCAGCCCGGGACTTGTGGGGCTGGAGAATTGGGGACCCAGAGGACTGTGGAGTGGGTCCGGGCTGCGGAGAAACACTCAAAGCTGCGGAATTTGCTCTGACCACCTCGTTCATCTGCGCCCTCCTCCACCGTGTCCAAGTCTGTATTTTCTAGATAATTCCCTCAAAACTGCAAAGAAGTTGTCAAAGATTCGGTTTTCCATGGGCTTCTGGTCCTTCCACTCAAAGGCTAGGACGTTTAGCTGCAAGGCTGGCGTCCCTAGGCTGAACCGTTCTGACGCTTAGGTGAACGGGAGGTGGGAGGGGTGGGAAAGCAGTTTCCTCCAGGGTGGGGAGAGCCGACCCAATTGGACAATGGGAACGTTAAAGTAACCGGGGTTCCGACCCAGTCCTGCTTGCTGCGTAGCCCAGCCAACCCAGGCCGTCACTCTCTGAGCTCACCTGAAAAGTAATAATCCTTTCTCTCCTACTCACCCTTAGAGACCTTTAAACCACACAGGTCCTGACAAATGACCTGGGAACTGGAAAAGCAAATTGAAAGTTAAAATCCCCAGTCATGGTTCTACACCCAAAGAAGAATCAAAGTTTCATGTCAGAGAACAGATAAGGAGACAACATAGGTCCTGTGTGAGAATGTTATATAAGGTAAGCCTGTCTCCTAGGAGATTACATGAGCATGTTAGCCCTCAGAGATCTTGAATCTTTGCCACTCACTCTTACATGATCTTCTGTTGGGTCCAGTGTGGTGGGCTAGTCCATCAAGATTATTGAGTGCTTACTAAGTTCTAGGAGCGGGAAATTGAAAGGGAGAAGTCTCTGCCTCGCTCCGCTATTTGCCCCTCTGGCATTGGACTGGGATGGCAGAGGCATAGCCAAATCTCTCTTGATGTCAGCTCAGCAATTTTGGGATCAGGAATATTACCCATGTATAAAGCTAACCTTTGCGCAGATGAGTAAAGACGTGCAGGTCTCCAGAAACCAGGCGAGTTTACTAATGATGGGGTTTGTGCGGCCCAGGGACTCCTCACTCTGTAGTAGCAGTTGGAGTACGAGTCTGAGAGGCAAGCACTGAGGCCTGTGAGCAGTGGGAGGCAATGGAAAATTCAGAGTCAGGGGACACCGGCCCACCAGAGCCCCACACTGGCAGTGTAGGGAAGGGCGGGAATGAGGGACCTCTACCGGCCATAGGAAAGGGTGGGAAGGGGGCGCCTCCTGGGCCCAAAGTCCGAGAACTCCCTCCCACAGGCTTGAATTCTCAACAACCCCTTCTTGGCTTGTCCTGGACTTGGAGAGGTCAAATTGGTGTCCTGAGCTGCTGTCATTTTAAATTCATTTTGACAAGTGTTTAATTCTTCTTTATCACAACCCTTGGTCTGAGAGTGATATGCAAATAATGGCTATTCTGCTGCATGCAAAATGTTCAGTATCTCTCTGTATGATCTGTCAATTAACTCTGGTCTGGCCCACCAGCCACTTCAGGGGTGGTCCCAGGCAGGGCAGCCTCTGGCTTTTGGTTCCCTCCAGTAGAAAAGCATGCACATTCTGGGCTCTATAAAGATCTTAGCAGAGCAACTGCCAACCATGATCCTGAGATGAGCGTGGAGTATTAGTATGGTTTTGTAAGTGACAGTGTGCTGTATTTGGGTTAATGGACACAAAGGTGTTTATGAAAGCGAATGTGCATATGTGGGTCTCTGAGCAGGCCTGTATGTGTTCGTGTGCAGCTGTGAACGATTTTGGAGACCAGAGTTATACAGAATAATTGTGGGGCCCAAAAAACCTGGCGTTGTTTGTTCCCTCCTCTCTTGCACCCGAGAAAGTTAAAAAAAAAATGCATGTCCAGATGGAAAGAGATCCCTAGAGAGTCTAAAAGAGTGCCGTCAATGAACACATCTTTCCTAAGTTTAAGTCTTTTTCCTAAGTGCCTGTTGAGGGAGGAAGATGGTTCAGTTCTTTCCCAAACCACCTGCTCTCTACTCTCAAAAACCCACATTTCCCATCTGGTAGGAAATATATTCTCTATTCAGAAATGCTGAGGAAATTCTAGACATTGGTTCTGAAAGAGAATTCCACATTTTTGGAAAATAGTTTATTAATTCATTATGAGGACAGATACATGATCAATGCCTTGGTTTAACACTAAAAAATGTCATATTTGTAAAGAGAAAAAATGCAGGAAAAGTAATTAAATAATATAGCATAAACTAAATACAGACAAATAAATGAGCAGATACTGATTACACTTGTCATGCATCAAAAAAAGGAAGGTTTTTAAAATGAGACTCAAAAAACGTAAGGCATCAATGGTAGGTGACAAAGGGATTAATACCCTGTAAAAGGCCAATAGACTCCTTTCTAATAAAAATACTGCTACAAAGACACAAACCTAACACTTCCAAATTACCCAGAGCCCAAATCATATATAATACTAGTGAGTAATGGCCACTTTCTTATCAACTGTGAGTTATAGGCAGATACCAGATTTATTACTTATTTGCTTTTGAGAAACAATTTTCCACCCAACCTAATGGGTTATAAATTGTCTCATTTGCAGCTATTTAATTTAAACCAGAACCTCAGTGCCTGTTAAACAAGAACATGAAAAATGACTATGTGGTGTAATGCTAAGAGCCTACTGTTAAAACAGCCATTTAATTCAGGGCAGGTTCCCCCCCCACCCGCTTTAGGGAAAAAAAAATCAAACCAGCAAAATAAAACGAGGCTTTTGACCTTCAGAGCAATGATGAAACGTATAGAGTGGTGTTGGCCACAGCAATGTTGAATGCTACAGAAATAGTACAAGTGACAATTCTGTGCTTAACAAGATACAAAACCAGCATTAATAATCTTTAGTGTTATCATAGGCTGGTTGAAGGAGGGGGAGGGGGAGGAAATGTAGGTGAGATGTCAAACGTGAGTGACACCCGAGTGTAATAAACACAGATGCTGAAAGGGTCTGAGGAAGCTGCAACTCTGCTGAAAGACATTTCACCATTTAAAAAAGGGTGGAGGTGGTGGAGGAGATAGACTAGTTATTTCTAATTTAGCCCAGAAGCCAGAGTTAACCCTTGACACGCCAATCAGTTAAAAACGATGCATCTGGGGAGAAAAGACCCTGCATTCTATGCTCCATGAGGCTGAAGTGCAAAATCAAATAAAATACACTGTTTTCTTTACACAGGAAATAGAAGTCAAGCTTGTCCTTCTATGGTAGGTCAACAGAAAATGACTTCAGGACTGAATTAAAAACAAAACAAAATGAGCCAATTGGCCTTGTCCTGTGCAAAGACCGCCCTTCCAGCACCCCAGAGGAATGAGGTTCCTCTCACCCCTACCCCATTAGCTCACGGTAAAGGCGCACAGTGGGAAGCTGCTGAGCTGCAGAACCCCTAATTCCCATTCCCCTTTCTCCCCTTTAGTTTCAGCTGGAAAGGAAGGTCCCAAGCCCCCTCCACCAGCAACCTGCCTCCCTGCACAGAAGGCAAGGAGAAATTTTATCCCAAGCCTCTGGGTTGTGTTCCCCTTTCCCCATCTCAAAAGTCCCCTTGTGTGACTTGTATTCATCACCTCCAAGACGAACCACCCCTTCTTAATCCCAGAGAGAAAGATACAAGGGAAGCCAGAAGGTGTCCTCCAAACCTGCACTGGGGATGGGCAGCCTGCCTGGGGAGCAGGCACACAGAGGCACAGAGAGAAGAGGGGGCAGAAGGGTAATGGGGAACATGAATGGGCAGACAGAGGAGTCATGCTACGGCCTCGAAGCAGACATGAGGTAGTCATGTTGTTAGGGGAGGAAGCGGGAGAACCACATGACACGGTCCGGGAGAGGCGTGAGAGACAGGCGAGGCAGACAGAAAGAGGACGCACAGAAACAGCAGAGAGGAAAGGAAGGAGCATCAGGGAGGAAGCGAAGGGCGCTGGAAGTGGGAGAGCAAGCTGGCTGGGGGAGAGGCTACTAGAGCAGTGAAGGAGAAGGAAGGAGGGGAGAGCCAGAAAAAGCAGGTGTTCAAAACCAGGCACTTCCCAAATTACAAAATTAAATGGAGAGTTGCTCTGAGGGGAACCAGAGTCACTCTCTCGATTTGGGTGACAGAGGTGGGAGAGGGGCAGCAACTAAAACATTAGGCATTCAGAGCCTTCTTGCACTCGGCCCAGCCAGGCAGGAGAATGGGCTGGGGCTGTCTTTGTCAGACAGGGCGTTGGAGACACTCTCAGAGTGTGTAATAAAAGGCTGGGCGATGGAGGCAGGGGGCCCACAGGGCTGGCGACTGACCACTCTGGGGCACTGTCCTGACCCGGACGCTGCAGTGACCACTGCCTGGACCAACGTTTCCCAGCTTACCAGCCCGCACACACACATGTGCTTCACATATGTGTACATCACAGAGAGCCATGCCTTACATGTCGCTCACAAATCACATGTGTCACAGAGTATGGGGGGAGTGAACAATCCATTTCTTCCTCTCCCTCTAGCCAAAGCACTCTAGGAGGCTCTCCAAATGGCTTGATGACATTGAGTATCTGCAGGTACACAGGTGTCATATCCCACGAGCCTTAACAACCTGCCCCAGATTGCGCCCTCGAGGGGAGCTATGCAGAGGAGGAGACCGGGGCTCTGGGCAAGCCTGGGCTGGCTCCTGGAGGGCAGGGGGCCTTTGACTGGCAGCCGTTCCCAGGGGCCTCCTCCAGAGCCTCGCCGGGCTGGAGGTCCAGGTAGGGGCAAGAAGGCGCCTCTGGCAAGCAGGTAAGTCTGTCTGGCCCAGTGGTTGTCTGCTCACACCCTCCCAGCTCGCTGTCCAGCCATTCTACCCCTTGCCCTAGATCCACAACGCCCGATGTGAGGTCGGCAGCCTCTGAGGGCAGGAAATCCTCAGGTTCCAAGTCTTGGAGGTGGAGGTCAGGGTTCCCTTTGGAAGCGCCAAAGTCAGAGTGAACAATAACTTCAGCCTCCACCTGGTTCCTGCAGACCGGGGACGGCTTCTTCCTCCCGTTGCCCTGGTCAGAGCAGAGAACACAAAGACAGGTGACCACCACTGGCAGTGATCATGAGAAGAATGACCTACATATCTGGGGTGGAGAGAGACTGACACCCACCTCCGCCGCTGGTGCCCCCGAGTACATGTGGCAGTTGGTAAAGCGCTGACTGTCCTACGAGAGATGGCGAGAGGACCCACGGGAAGGCAGGGAAAATGGAATACTACTATTTGCCCTCACCCAGGAGCTCCAGCAGTACAGGGTTCAGTCAGGGCCTCGCAGAACAGAAGGAGAGGCTGAAGACACTCAGGCCCATCCACGGTACCTCTGCGGTGGCTCACTGAGGTCTATGTAGAGGAGGGACTGTCCCCGACCCAGGTGAAACACATTCCTACAAAGGAGGCGGCCCTGTGCCCACTCACTTTTACAGGCTCCAGTGGTCTCCTGGCTAGCTTCTATCTGCAGGGAAGTTACCCTCAGGGGTCTCCAGAGAACTAACCACCTGCTTTCCGCAAGCATGGGGGCCCTTCTCTCCTTTCTTCCCCTTTCCTCCCAGGACACTGACCTTGATGGCATCATACACCAGAGCCTGCAGCAACAGCGTCTGTCCAGTCCCAGCAGGGGGCAGCAGGGCCCGGGTCAGGGAAGGCACCTGGCCTGCCTGGGGCAACTCACAGCCTGCCCAGGAGCCTGCCCAGCACGGCCCACTTGGCTGAGCCCACGAGATCTGCACGGGGAGAGACGCGGGAGCACTGAGGGGTGGGCTGGGAGAGGGAAGGGGCTGGAGCCCCCTCCACAGACTCTGGCACCTGTTTTCTCCCTCCCCAAGGCTGTGGGGAGGAGCGCAAAATACAGGCTGAGAGTCTAGGGGGAGCCGGGCATGAAGAAGCCCTCCGGCAGAAAAGCCTCATATCATTGCTTTGGCAAAGCCCAGGGCTTTCCCAGCCAGGCAGGGTCTCCTTCAGCAGAGAGGTGGGGAAAGGGTGAGAGGGGACTCGGGTTTGAGCAGGCTGGCCAGGAAGGGGTGGGATGAGCCACCCCTCCCAGCAAGGAGGGAACCTGTCTTGCACGGCCCACTTTTCCAGGTCCCAGGCCCTCTAGGCTACAGCCAAGCTGACCACGCTCTTTTTGCAATACTAGGGAGGGCTGGATCATAGAGGTCTCCCCAGCTCCCCTGATGAGGAGGGATCTGGGTGTTCTGGCTACCCAGAGTCACCAGCAAACGGCCCATGGGGGCCTCCCCTCTTTCCGTGAGAGCCAGGCTGACCTATTCTGCTTATCCGCCTTGCCAACGTTTTCGTGGAGGGGGAGACAGTGCCTTTTCTTCTGCAGCTGGCCTAGAGGAAGGTGGGGTGTGGGGGGCGGGGAGCGGGGAGCGGTTCTCTCACAGGGTCACCCGTTATGCTCTCGCGCCCCCTGGTGACACAGTGTGGGACTAACCTATACAGGATCCAGGCTCACCTTTCTCTTGGAGTGACCCCGGCAGTCGGAAACTCCACCACCCATAAGGCTGTGCACTTCAGCCCTGTCCTCGATGTCTGAGGGTGGTGGGGACCAGTCCTGGGGACGGGGGTGCACGAGCGACTCCAGTTCATGGGTAGCTGGGGGACTAGGGGGTCCAAGACGGGCTCGAGAGTACAGCGCAGGGTTGCCAGCAGTGGCCGTGGAGGACAGGCCTGGGAGGGCTTCCCTGGAAGGCGAGACCGGCACAGCAGTCAGAGAGTGAGGGTGGGGGTGGGACTGGGGTCTAGTCTGGCCTACGTTCCTGGGCAGGTTCCTGTCCATCTCTGGGACTTGAGGAGGAAACCGTTCAAAAAAGCTGTGACACTGCAAATGGTACCCGTCCTCCCCTGGCTCCAGGCATCTGGAGATTTGGGGTCCCTCTTGCCAAGATGCTAGCAGCTACAGGGGAAGCAGGAGACAGGCAGCTCTGCCTCTGTATGCCCTTGTTGAGGGGGTACGCTGGGGGCTCCCCCAAAGTCATCCCCACTCTCATGAGGACAGCCCAGAGTCCTAACTTCAATGGGGTTGGTGGGGGTGCCTAGGGCAAGTCATGGCCACTTTTCCTGCTTTCTCATCTCAGCTCAGGCAGGAGCTTCTACCTGTTTCTCCCTGAAACCCCTAGAAGCTCAGCGGCACTCTCACTACTCATCCTCCTGGAAATCTCTCCTCTCTGTGGTCAGACCGGCTCCTTCGCGCACCTGTGGGGGCCGCGGCGCAGGCCAGCACACATGCAGGCCAGGAGGCAGAGGAGGCCCAGGCAGACGCCCACGATGATGCCCGTGACTGAGTGCACATCCAAGGAGTCTGGGTTGGGGGAGAGAGAGGGGACAGGGCAGGTCAAGGACAGGAGAAGACCCAGGGTTCATAGATCAGGACTTTGTGTGGTTTCCTCGGGGGCTGCTGGCTCGAGTCTCACTCTTTGGACACTCAGAATTTCTGGTGCAAGGACAGCAGGGCCCCACAGCATCACAGAGACCACAGCTACCTCTCTCTCCAATTGTCCTCCCGACTGGACACCCACCTGCCCGCCAAGCAGGGCTGGTTTCGTGGGCGGGCAGGAAGTGCAGTGGCCCCGAGCTCACGCTGAGAAGGGCTCTGTGCTCGGTTTAATGCTGTGCTGTCACTGTCTGGAAATTCCTCCTAACTTTGTAATAAGGAACCCCTCATTTTCATTGCACGCCAGGCCCTGCAAGTTACAGCGCCGGCCCTGCTGCCCACCAGCTCCCCATACAGCTCCTCGCCTCCCCCAGCCAACTCTCCAATCAAAGCAATCTCCCAAAGGGACCAAGCCAGTCTCCCAAAAATCTGACGTCTCAGCCGAATCGCCACTGAGCCATCCCGCACCTGCTTCCCCTTCAAATCTGTCCTCTCAGCACCAAACTAGGAGGGCGGCCATCCAAGACAAGGCCCTGGCTTCAGGGCCTTGGAGGGGACAATGTTAGGGTGAGAAGTCAATTCCGGGGGCCTCTGGGGGCCTCAGGATGGACTCCACGTCCCCTTCCTGCCTTCGTACCTGAGAGCTTCTCCTGGAGCGTGATCACGTCCTGCAGGCCGGAGAAGGGCCCGGGCCCCACCTCTGTGCGCGCCCCCATCTTGAAGAAGTACCTGGTGTCGCTCTCAAGGCCACGTACCTCAGCACTGAAGATGTTTCCTGGCAGGCGGGGAAGCAGGGAGAGCAAGGCTAGTGGGCTGAGTGGGGGTGGGACCGGGTGGGAAGCAGGTCTGAGAAAGTCCACTTCCCCCACTCAGGCAGCAGCTTCTGCCTGTTTCTCCCTGAAACCCTAGAACCTCAGCGGCACTCTCACTATGAATCAAGCCATCAGAGAGGCTGGAACCGGGGAAGAGGGAGGGGAAGCTCTTGCTCCAACAGCCTCGGGGCAGGAGTCCTCACCCTCCGTGGTGAGCAGGGTCCACTGGTGCTCGGGCTGAGTGTGGTTGTTGCTGTATAGAATCAGATACTCCACGATCTCCCCATTGGGCTCCGTGGGGGGACACCAGTGCAGCAGGACAGTGGACGGCGTCAGGGAGCTCAGGCGCAGGTCAGATGGGGGTGTCGAAGGCCCTGGGGTGCAGGGGAGGAGAAGGGGAGAGGCAAGGTCACTAGGAGCCCCAGTGCTGGGGGCGGTCGTGAGACAGGGCATGCAGACATGGCCTCTCTTCTTCCTCCTTCGCTGGAACAAACCACAAAGCAAAATGAGGTCTGGTCTCCAACTGGGGAATTTTACAAAACAGCTGGGGTGGGGGCTTCACCACTGTGCCTCCCCTCCCTGAAACGCCTCTCCCCTCCTTGGAGCAGAGCTCCCTAAACTTCCACACCCAGAAATGTCCAAGGGTGGAGGAGACTGGTACTCTCGGGAGCTGGGAACAGAGCTCAAAACTTTTTGGAAGGCTTTTTATATTTTATTTTAAACTGTCACAGTAAGTTTGCCATCTGTCCCATGGTAAAGTTTAATATAAAAATAGTGTTTACAATTATTTAAAGTTCCTAACCCCCCTTGCCACGCAAGTCTTTAAGTGAAAGTGTTTGATGCTCTGTGTGGCCTGTGTCTATGCCCCTGGTCCTCCAGGGTCACAGGCACCCCAGCGTGAGAAGTGCCACCTTGGCAGACCTCGTGCTTTGTTTTTAGAGAAGATGCTGATCTAGGGAGGTGGAGGTGGACGAGGAAGGGCGAGAAGGAGGGACCCAGGGTGACTGGTGAGTTGGGAAGGACAGAGATTTGGGAGTCCAGGGCTTCAAGGCCTGACAGCGGGTGGGACGGGGACCCAGGCCACTAAGGTGTAACAGAGCCACCTCTCTGAGCCCAGGTGGCTCTCTGCTTCTCAAGCTCCAGTTTCCCCACCTAGAGAAGGAAAAACCACTCCCCTCCATAGCCCAGTCACTTGTGCTGGGAACCCAACGTCATAAAGTCTACTTCAAGAAAACTCTGGGTCGCCCTGAATTCTGTATGCAATTTAAGATGATAATAACGGAGGTCATAGTGGGGTGAGAAACAATTTGAAAGCAGTTTTTAAAAAATCAAATTCATGAGAGCAGAGGGCCTCCACACCCCACCCCACACGCATCTTCCTATGTCAGGTCCTGGGACGAAGGTCTTCCGGCCGTGGGAAGGTGAACACTGTTAGGGCCAGCAGAACTGAAGAGCCTCCGCTGTGAGAACAAAAGTCCTTTTGTCTTGAAATGCCATTTCCAGAGAGTTCCAGAGTCACAGACTTGCAGAGTGAACAGCCCCACCCTCTCTTTGTACAGATGAGGACGCAGGGGCCCTGGCTGGGGAAGGAACCTGCCCAAGTTTACCTGTGTGTCGGAGGCAGGATGGGAACCCATATGCAGAGTGCAGGACACCTGTTCCCTCCCCCCGGCCCCTCTCCACCGGCTCAGTGGGGCTTGGCACAGCCTCTCAGAGGAAGCTGCTCCTCTTAATCCTAAACTATTTTTATGGATAAATAAGGTTAAGACCAGCACAGGACTGGCCTATGTGAATGCAAGCACATGACACGCCCTTGTGGGGTTCTGAGGGACATTTCAGAAAAGAGCATTTCTGGGCAAAGAGTTGGGTAAAAGACAGGTTGGTGGCAAGAGGGCTGCGGGGCCACTCACGGTCAGGCAGGGTGGAGCGCTCCACCACGGAGCCGAAAGGCCCGTCCATGTCCACGCCGTGGGACTGTACCGCAAACTCATATTTGGTGAACGGCTTCAGCCCGCCAATGAGGATGTCTTCTCCAGAGCTGCCAAGGCAAGAAATGTGACTAGGGCTCTCAGGCACACCCTCCTACCAGGGCAGCTCCTCCAAATCTACTCTCCTGCCCCCAGCGCTAGCCCCAGGCCCTACCGGGAGAAGGGGGCCACCGACACCAGCCAGAGAACCTACAGAGAGGCCTGGATGGACGCTGCTCCCAGGGTATCATGCTCCATGTCCCATCTCCAAGCCAGTCCCCCTCCTCCAGGAAACCTTCCTGGATTAATCCAAGTCATCCTTCACTCGAGGAACCATCTCTGATGCATTTTTCCTTGATTTAATTTTACTTTAGCTGCAACTGTATACATCTATTGCTTTTTATGCAATATTTTCTTTGCCCAACCAGCAGCTCCTGAGGACAGGGGCTCTGTCTCCATCTGACTGGGGGCCCTCTCAGGACAGCAGCTGGGCTGTCCCTTCACCATCATATTGGGAGCCCTCTGAGGGTAAAGAAATAGGTCTGCCTGCATCACGTTCCCAAGGGTTCAGCACAAGGCCCTGTTGCAGGGGGTGGGGTCGCATGGGCTGTCCTTTGCCACCGGCCAGACCCTCAATCTTCCCCCAGGGTAAGGCATGAGCCCCGCAGGTTTCTGAATCCCCCAGGCTCCCTCTCCTCCTCTCCACCTGCTGCCTTCCTCCCCCCTTTACGGCGCGAGCCCCTCCTTCCCACCTGGTGTAATAGGTGACCAGGGAGGCATTCCTGAGGCCCCAGGGGCTGAAACGCACAGTGTAGTTGACAATCTTGACCGTGGTGAAGTCGGGCTTTTTCCACCGAAGCCAAATGGACGTGGAACTGTTCGATTCCGCATGAACGTGGGCAGGGGGTAAGGGTGGCCCCCTCTGGATGGGAAGGTCTGGAAGGTGAAAATTAGAGTGTGGCGAAGGGAGGAGGGACACTAACCCTAAAAGTGTATGGGGCTTTACAGCCCCCAGTTCACAGTCATGTCCATCTACCCTTTCTCCTTTGATCCTGTGAGTTCGGTAGCATCATTCCCACTTTGCAGATGAGGAAACTGAGGCTCCCAAAAATTTAAGTGATTTTATTTTTTTGCCAACGTCCATATATATAGCAGACCGTAAGAGAAAGAGGAAGCAATTAAGAGCACAGATTTTAGAGCCAGGCTACCCTGCTTCAAATTCCAGCTCTGCCACTCACCAGTTGTGTAACCTTGGAGAAGGTGCTTAACCCCTCTATGTCTCCGTCCCCTATTCAGTCAGCGGGGCTTCTAAGAGTGCTGCCTCATAGTATCGTTATGAGGATTAAGTTAGTTAATATTTGCAAAGTATTCAGAAAAGGATCTGGCATATTGTTTTTTGTTTTTTGAGATATAATTCACATACCATAACATTCAGTTTTTAAATGTACAACACAGTGGTTTTTAGTACCTGCACAAGGTTTAGTACCTGCACAATGCCACCTACACTAATTCCGCAAAATTTTTATCACCCTGCAAAGAAACCCTGTCCCTTTTACCCATGAATCCCCATTTCACCTCTCCTCCAGCCCTTGGCAACCACAAATCTGCCTTATGTCTGTATGGATTTGCCTCCTCTGATATTTCCTATCAATGAGATCATAGAGTATGTGGAGTTTGTATGTCTGGCTTCTTTCATTTATCATAATGCTTTTAAGATTCCTCCATGTTGTATGATGTATCAGCACTTGTTTCCTTCTTGTGGTATCTGACACATTGTTACGAACTGAATGTTTGTGTCCCCGCCAAGTTCATATGCTGAAATTTAACCAACGGCAGAGCACTCCCTAGAGGCATTGCTGCCTGTCTCTGTCTACTCAGGTTGCCACAACCAAGTACCATAGGCTGGGTGGCTCCTGAACAACAGAAATTTACTTTTCACAGTTCTGGAGGCAGGAGTCTGAGATCAGAGCACCAGCGTGGGAAAGCTCTGGTGAGAGCCCCCTCCGGGCTCAGACGGACGGCTCACAGCATGACGTATAATCACGTGGTGAAGAGCGGTGAGAGGAGCTACCTCTCTTTTGACTCTTAAAAGGGCATTAATCCCATTCACGAGGGCTCCACATTCATGACTGCATCTGATCCCTGATTATATCCTAATAAATCACATTGGAGGGTAGGGTTTCAACATACGAATTTTGGGGAGGACGTAAACTCCCACTCCCTACCAGTGCCCTTACAGAAGAGAGCCTGGGAGTGCTCCAGCCACGGTGAGAAGATGGCCAGTGATCTGTGAGTCAGGGAGCAGGCTCTCACCAGAAACTATGTCAGTGCCTTGGTCTTGGACTTTCCAGCCTCCAGAAATGTGAGAAACAAATGTTAGTTGCTTACGTCTATGGTAGTTTTGTTATAGCAGCCTAAACTAAGACATACATAGCAAGCCCTCTCTCATGAATATATGAATGATGTGCTCATTACCTAAACAAAAAATAAAATGAACTTCATGAGAGCAGGTCCCCTACTTGTGTTGTTTACCACTAAATTCTCAGTACAGAGGGCACATAGTAGACACTCAGGAAAAGATGTGCTGAGCAAGCAAACTGGAATTAGAACCCAGGTTTCTTGGCCTTGGTTGCATGTTCCTTCCATTAACCACGTGGGTAAAAATTGACCTGGGAAGTTGGGGCGAGGGAAGGCCATCACCAGCAATGGTGGTGTCCAGGGCAGGGCCCAGGCAATGCACCGCGGCGGGGAGGCTTCTGCCTGGGAGCCGGGGGTCTTGGTTCCTGTCCCAGCTCTGTGCGACCTTGGACAAGTCCCTTTGCCTCTCTGAGCCTCAGTTTCCTAGTGGGCCACATAGGGATAATCTACCTGCCTAGAGTAGAGAGATAATCTGATAGTGTGATGTAGGTGCATGTATTTTAAGAATTGTCCAAAGGTCAAACTTGGGGTCAGAAGTCACTGATCGACCGCAGGGTTTCTCCTTCCAAACCTTCCAAATTAGCACCGCTCATACATAATGAAAACACGGTGGCAGGCCTAGAGACAGTGCGCAGCTTGGAGCTCCTTTCTATGGCAGAGGCTGTCTGGGCCTAGAAGAGGACCCCCCAAGCCCAGGGGAAGGGGGTTGGGGGTGGCTGAGGATACCAGAAAGCCTGACCACGAAGGCCCAGAGGGAAGAGAAAGGGAGCCGTACACAGGCCCCTCGCCTGTGCCCCCTCACCTGGTGTGGGAGCCTTCTCCGTCTTGCCCTTCCACACTGCCGCGTAGCCGTCCTCGTGTTTGTTGAATGCCACAAGCTTCACCTCGTACAGCCGGCCGGGGACTGGGGAAGGTCACAGGGGTCACTCACTAGCTAGAGGAACCTCTGGGGTCACTCTCTCCTCCCCCAAAAGGATTCCATCTCCTGCACCCAGCTTACCCAGTCCCCCACCGAAGCTAAGTCGGTCTCGCTCACCCCCGCCCCAGCCCTCCTCACCTAGCTGGGTCAGCTCATACTGCTTCACTTTCTTCTTGAGCCGGACAGGCCCCACATCCCAAGCCTGGTCTCCACGGCCCCCTGGGGGGCTCTCACCATCAGCCTCCTCCTCGGCCCCCACCTCCCGCCAGTACAGTTTGTAGCCAGAGATCTGGGCGGGGTGAGGGGGCGGCTGCCAGGACACAACCAGGGACTCCATCCTTGCCCGTACCTTCAACTCTGCAGGGGCAAAAGGGACTGGGGAGCAGGATGAGAAGGAGGAGGAGGTGAATGGGGGGTGAAGAGGAGGTGGCCAGGGATGGGAGATGGGGAAGAGGCAGGAGGAGGCAAAAAGCAGGAAGACGGCATTGAGTGACAGCCTTGCCAGTCTCCTCCCAATGATCACCTCTCAGCCACCACTCTAAGTGCCTGGCCAGGGCAGGTCTAGCGGTGAGCTCACCGCTCCACGAGCCTGGAGTGCTGGCAGGGGGGCGCTGTCTCCTGGGCCTTTGCACAGACATGAGCAAGGAACACCTCTGTGGCAGGGCCGACAGTCCCGGCACAGTATAGGGTCTGCAAGTGTTCTGCAGGAATGACTGCATGGGTACTGGGCAAGGCAAGGGGGCCGCCAGGGTTGCAGAGGCCGGGAAGGAGGGGTGGAGCCATTGGAGTGGGGGGCCTACTTGGAAACTAAATGTGGGGAGCTCACTGTCTGTTAGATGCTGTTCTAAGCACTTCATACACATATCTTAACTTCATTCTCACAGCGCTATAACACAATGAAAATACTGTTACCCCCATTTTACAAGTAAGAAACTGAGGCTCAGAGAAGTTAAGCAACTTGCCCGAGGTCACACAGATAGTATATGCACCACGGTTTGTCTGCATTTAGTCACTCTCCTCTTGGGCCTTTCAACAAAACCAGTACCAGTCATAATCATGGAACAGCTGCTACTTAACAGCTATTGTGTACTAAATACTTTGTTTACAATACATTCATTATCAATCTTCATGCCTCGCTTGCAAGTAAATGAAGCCTTAGAGCTGTGAGTGGTTTGAAGGAGGGCACACAGCAGAAGGGGCACAGGAGCCCAGATGTGCCTGCAAAGGCCAGCCCTTCACCTTTCCACCCATCCTCCCTAACCAGCACACAGGGGGAGCCATGGCAGGTCTCTGATGGAGAGGGTGGCTGGGTCTGGGTTCCAAGGTCACGCATACACACACAGTCATGCACGCCCCCTGGTCCTGTCCCCTCTGAGCCCGTACCGTGGCTCTGGTTGTGCACACTGGGCGTCCTGTGCTGCACCCACTGGGAGGGCGTCCCATAGCCGGCCCCTGTGCCTGCCGAGATCCGGACGCGGTACACCTTGTTGGGCAGAAGTGAGTTCAGCGTAAGCTGCGTCTCATTCCCTGGCACTTCGGTGGAGAAAATCTGATCTGCTGAGACAGAAAAGACTGGCTGCTGGGAGGCCACCTGAAGACAATGACCCCTCGCATCCCCTACGTAGACTCTTCCACCTCAGATCCTGGTTCCTCAGTGCCCATCAGAGCCTGAGGCCCTCTCAGCATTGGCTCCTCAGTGCCCAGATGGAATCCACGGCTCCAGGGCTGACCCTGGGCCTCCCACCCCACCTGACTCATCAGCCTCAGCTCCGAGTCGGGCGCATCATGGCATGTGATCCCCACTCCCCACGAGCGGTCATTGACACCCCCCTCCGACACACACACCAGAGCCAGGGCGCAAGCCAAGGGGTTGGCTGTGAGGGCCAGCAGGCACCACCTGCCTTCCAGGGCCCTGACAACCACCCCAAGCCCCCTGGCTCACCTTTCCCTCCGCCTTCACCTGGCCCTGGCCCTCCAGCCACTTGCCTTCTCCTAACTCGTTGTCCCTTCCAAACTCCTGCCCTGGATTACCGACATCTGCCCTAACACACCCCGTCCGATGCTCTATTCCCCCCTCTCACAAGCATCCCCTGCCTCCTTATCCCCCATCTGCTCTTTGGGCTGGAAGGGACCCCAGGGGCCTCCTAGGCCACCTGCTTCATTTCACAGATAAGGAAACTGAGGCAGGGATTCAGGAGGATGATGCACTGCAGGTGGAGGCGGGGGGCAGAATGCAAGCCTCTCTCTGCCTTGAGCTAGCCCTGCTTTCATTCCTGCCACCTCTACCCTTAGCCCACGCTCCTCTTTCCCGGGCCCACCTTCCCTGCTTCCCTGCACTGCCTAACCTCCTCAGGCTCCCCGAGCTCTGCTCGGCTCCTCGGAGGCTCTGACCATCTCCTCGCAGACACAACTCCCAGCCGGTGGAGCCCGCACCCTGCCTCCACTCACCTTCCTTTCCCAAACTGTACTCTATCTTGTACTTCACCACCTGCCCATTGCTCAGGCTGGGAGGCAGGGGCAGCCACGCCACCCTGATGTCCGAGGGGTTGGGGCTGGACAGGGAGAGCTGGGGCGCTGCACTGGGGACTGAGACAGAAGAACATCAGCATGAGCTCTGCTCCACCGACGTGGAAGGTGAGGCCCAGGAGCGGTCAGAGACTTGCCCAGGTCACACAGCAAGTCAGAAGTAGGCCCAGGACCAGGATCTGAGGGAGGAAAGGGAGCCTCTCAGGGGAGCCCCAAGCTGGAGAGGAGGAGACATCCTTCCCACCCCAAAAAAGGTTGGGGGCACAATCTTCCACACCCAGTGGGTTACAGTCACTGGTCCCTGCTTGACTGGATGGTATATGGGGGTCAGGAAAAAGGGCCACATGATACAGGAAATCACAAACTGAGATCTCAAGTCCCAACTGTCCTACTGACCCTGGGCAAGTCACTCTCATTTTTCTGGGCCTCAGTTTCCCCAACTGTAAATTGGGGAGAAGAAACCACGCCTACCCCTTTGAGGGTACAAAAGATGACACAAAGCAGGTAGAAGTTCCTGCCTGGCGTTCACTAGTAAAGAGAAGCCCAGCTACCATTCCTAGGGAATTCTCTGGACCCCAAGGCGCGCACTGCAGGTGGAGAGGCCCTACCATCATCCAGTGTGTGGACCAGCGCTGGGGCGGACGTGCGGCTGGCCCCCAGCTGAGAGTAGGCCACGACGTAGAACTCATAGTCCGTGTTGGGTTCCAGGTCCCGCACCTGTAGCTCTGTCGTGTCATTGTTCACTGCAAACTGGTACTCCACATTGTCCATGCCTGGCACGGTGACACAGGGGACAAAGGAACTGTCACAGGAACACTACCAGGGGGGCCTACCAGCTGGAGGCTGCCATATAGTCCCAGTCTCAAGAATAGTCTATTTATAGCTAAATCATCCCAGATAATCTGTATTGGCGAGTATAAACTCCCTTGGCTTGTAGTTGCACAGCATTAATCCCTCTGCTGGTTAGGAAGTTCTTTCTGGCATCTAACTGAAGCGACTCCTACTGCATTTAATAGCTGGCTCCAGAAATGCCATGGCATTTTCCCTGGGAGGAGAAGCATCCTCTCCTTTCTCTCCTGTAAACTGACAGAGGAGTAATGTGCCACGTTGACCCCTCCAGCACCAGGCCTAACCCATATCTACGCGGCACCCTCCGTGGGGTCCCACCTCATCCTGTCCTAACCCCGAAGGCAGCGACAGGCGACCCTTCAGTCACCCAACTTGTCCCCGCTTGAGCCTTTGCTGATACGTCTCCTCCCACCCCCGCAGGCGTACCCCGAGCTTTCTGGTAGTGGAGGGAGAAGCCAATGATCTGGTCGCTGTGTAGCTCGGGACGCTCCCAGGCCACCAGCACGGCGGAGCTGCTCAGCGGTGTGGCCGTGACCCGCGTCGGGGCGCTGGGCAGCCCCTCGCGCACTACGACGGCCAGCGGCGCGGCGGCGCACGCTGTGCCCGCGCCGTTCTCGGCCACGCACTGGTAGTAGCCGGCGTCCTGCAGGCCGATCTGCGTGATGACCAGGCTGCCGCCGCCGCCCTGCACCTTCACGCGCCCGTTGGGGCGCAGCGGCACCCCATTGTGCAGCCAACGCAGCGCAGGCCGCGGCTCCCCGGACGCGCGGCACACGAAGCGCGCGGTGCTGGCCCGCGTCCGAGACAGCGCCTCGGGCGCCTGCGAGATGGCAGGAGCCGCTGGGGACGAGAAAGAGGACGGTGACCGCGCGCTCCGGCCACTGGGGGCTGTGCCCCTCTCCCAAATACCCCAACTGGCTCCCACATCCCCTCCAATCTCCCTAACTGCTCCCTGAGTCACCCCTCTACCTCTGCTCCCCACTTACCCGAGCCCCACGCTGACCAGGTCTCCTCAGCCTCCTCTCCTCCTGGGTCTAACCCCACTTCCTCGCTTATCACCTCCTTCTCCCCTGCCAGATTCACTCCTGTCTGCAGTTTTGTCCGTCCGGAGCAACTTCGTCCCCTTGCTTTCTTAGTACCACTCAGGTCCACTATTCCCCACCCCCCAACCCCGCACCCCTTTCCAGGAACCTCAGTCCCACACCGCCCCCGTTAGGAACTTTACCTAAGTTCCACCCAGACCTCCCCTTCCCACCGTCCAATCGCCCAAGCTCTAACCGCCCCTCCTTCTTTCCCTGACTCGACTCTCCCAACTCCGTCCTCCGACCTCTTTCCACCACTTCCCCTCCGCCTGCGAACTAGTCCGTCCCCTCCAGGATCCCCGCCCTACGACCTCCTCCCCGCCGGCCCTACCCCTTTTTCATCCTCCAGGACATCGTCGTCTCTCAATCCCTCCAACACGCCCAGTTGCCCACGCCCCACCCTCGCCCCATCCCTCTTCTTCCCTCGTCCCCAGCTAACCCGCCCCAACGCGGTGTCCCGCACACCTCTCGGTTCACCCCGCCTCACCCAGTATGCGAAGCTCGGCGGCGGCGGTGGCAAAGTCGCGCGTGCGGGGCTTGTTAGCGCGGCAGACGTAGACGCCCGAGTGCCGGGGCTGCGCGCTGGCGATCAGTAGGTTGGTGCGGCCCAGGACGATGACATCGGTGGAGATGGGTTTCCCGTCTGCGGAAGAGAAGGGAAAGCCATGGAGGGGGGAGGGGAGGATTGCCCTCCAGCCACTCTCCGGACCTCGGAGCCTCTCTGCACTGAGGTTATGAAGCCATAGCCGGTTCGAGTCTCAGTTCTTCCACTTGCTTTAATGACCTTCTCTGAATCTTAGGGTCTCTTGTAATATGAGGAAATAGTCCCTCGCTGGAAGGACTGCTGTGGGAGTGGAATGAACAAGGTTTGGGAGAACCGCTGGCACAATGCAGCTGCGTAAGAAGTGCTCAGTACACTAGTCAGTTATTACTATTTCCATTGATGCTGAAGTTGATTTTCCCAAGAAGGACACACTCCTATAAGGCCCTGGCTCAGGAACTGTGATGAAATGGGACTGGAAAGGTCTGATCAATATTAAACATTGGAATATGTGCAGAGACTTTCATCTTGATGTGAAATGGAAATCATTTTAAAGTCCTTGCCTTATGGACATGGACAGAAAATTCAGGGGGAAACATGTAAATGGCCAAGAAACACACACAAAGAAATTGTTCAATTTCACGTAATCAAAGAAATGCACATCAAAATACAGAGCTCATTTTTCACCTATCATAATGAGAAAGTGTTTAAAAACAGTTGCGTTGTGGGAGAAAGGGTAAAGGGCTAACAGGGGCTCCGCCTGAACCTTGAAGTCAGCGATTCCACCTACGGGCGCCTGTCCCGGGGAGATGTGAGCAGGGCTGATCACTGCAGTGTTACTGGGTATAGTGGGCAACTGATAAGACTTAAAAATTCAGCAGTAGGAACTGGAAAATTACATTACAGCTATATTCAAACGACGGAATATCATATAGTCATAATTATTTTTTGGAAAAATTTTAAAGATGGGGAAAATGCTTATGAGACACTGTTGAATGAAAGTAGGACTCGGAATTGTACATTCCACATGCTCTCAATTTCAGGGGAAAATGTACAAGTGCATAGAAGAAAATCTGGAAAAAATACATACTTTAACAACTTTTACATCTGAGATATGGTGAGATGTTTTCTGTTTCTGCTTTTTCCTAGTTTTCTACAATGAACACATATTACGTTTGCCATCAGAAGAAAATAAAACAGAAGTCCCTGCCCTGCCCTGCAGAGTAAGGTCCTGGAAAAGGAACTGTGCCCAGGGTCAGGAATGAAGTCCTTTCGGGGCCTTTCTTTTCCCAGCCTCTGTCTAGCCGTGTTATTAGCAGAGTTTCTCTAGGTGAGTTCCCCAAACTACCAGTGTCAGAATCCTCTGGAAAAGCAATTCTCCAATCCTTATATGATTCCAAATCATGGAATTTCAGGGGACTCTAAGATGCAGAGGCCTAGGGCAGGACCCAGATTCTGCACTTCTAACTAGGCACCCAGGCAGTAGATCCAACGATCCCTGGTTTGGTAGCAAGGACCTAGGGCACTTGATTCCTGGGTTGCAACTCTCCAGACGTGAAGGGAGGGAGCCTGCAGTTTTCTCCCTGGTCATTCATTCTGGTGCATGGTCAGCGTTTGAGAAACACTGACCTTAGAACTTCCGGGCAACATCACAGGCTGACTCCAATAATAGTATGAGGTCCCTGCGGGCCCTGGGATCCCCCTAACTAGGCAAATGTCATAGGTCCAATGAGGCCATGCAGGTAAAGGAGGTGCAAAGACTTCAGAACGGTTCTATCTCATCACATCAGTGGGCAAAGGTAAATAGCTGTTTGGTTTATTATTTTTCCTTTTTTTTTTTTTTTTTAGTCCTCATTCAAGGATATGTTGAGAGAGAGAGAGAGAGAGAGACAAAGAGAGACAGAGAGACAGAGATAGAAACAGAGAGAGACAGAGAGACATTGCTGTGAGAGAGAAACATCGATTGGCTGCCTCCCCCAAGCCCCAGTCAGGGATCGAACCCACACACTAGGTATGTGCCCTGACTGGGGACAAACCTGAAACCTTTTGCTGTACAGGGTGACACTCCAACTAACTTAGCCACCCGGCCAGGGCTGGTTTATTATTTTTCTTTAAACTCTATGTATTCATTATGTACTCTTGAATGTGAGATACAAACTTACAAAAAGGAGGCAGTGTAGGGGAACTGATTGAGCCAGGGAAGAAGGGTAAAGAGGGCTAGGTTTAAGACTTAACTTCTGCCGTCAGCTTGGGACAAATCATTCCTTATGAACAAATGGAAACAAAGATAATCCTTGCTTTTCTTCCATTCAGAACTGTAGGGAGTGGCAGAGCAGAAAGGACTAGCTCTATAGTTTGGGTCCTGGCTTCGCACCTGCCTCACAGCCTCTGCTCTCTCATTTGCCCACTGGGAATAGTCCTGGCCCCTCCCCTCCCCTCCCCCAAGGGCTCTCGGAAGCCCAGGCAGGAGAGCGGGTGTGAGCGCTCAGTAGGCTGCAAGATGAAGGTTGGCCCAGTGCTCTCATTATGCCGATAGCATCTCCTGTAACGCAGTCCCACTTGGCACTTATCACTTGCTGTCTGATACTGTCAAGCCTCTCTTCATGGCTGTGTGTCTTATCTCCCTCACCCAGACTATGAGGGTCCTGGGTCCCTCATCTGGGTATTTTATTCACAGTGCCCAGCATGAAGCCCAACACACAAAGGCAGAGGCACACTGGGTACAGGCAGCTTTGTAATTAAACATTGCAGCAGTGGGGGCCTGGTTCCACCTGACTTGCTGGCTGTGTGGCACCTTTCCAGCTCTCACACACTCATCTGCCACTGTTGTGAGGAATGAAATAAGTGAGGTAGAGAAACTAGCCTCGGGCCCACATTGACTAAGGTCTCAATAACAATTTCCTGAGTGGCAAATTCCAAGTGCCTTGTAATGGAAACATGCCATGCAGATTGATGATTAAGTCTTTCTAGATCCCCCACCCAAACTTGGCCCTGGGAGAGGAGTTCCTTCCACACCAAAGACTGGCGACTATGAACTGGTTGCTCTTATAGCTTCCTGACTTGGGGACACATGAGATGCCACCTCCCTCCTTTCCCATGCCCTTCCAGTGCCCTCCCTCCACTTACCCTGTCGGACCCAGGACACAAAAGGGGTAGGGTCAGCAGAAGCCATACATTCCATCACCACACTCTGTCCAGATACCACTGTGGTATTCTCCGGAGCTGCCACAATGACCACGTCCTGCTCCCTGGTAGACACCAGGGACCCTGGAGAGAGGGCAGACCAGCAGGCAGACTTACCATTAGGCATCTTCACATGTGTACCTCCCCGGGTGTCCCTGCTGAGCCAGGTGGGACGGGAAGCAGCCAGGCTTCCGTCCAACAGGTGGGGAAGCAGCCACATAGTTCCGCAGAGGTGGGGCTAGGACTCAGAGCTCTTTCTTTTGGAGCCAGAAGAGAAATAACCTGGTCTCCAACACACCACCCCCATCCTTCCCTGCCAAATGGAACCCACGCTCCAGGTAGAGGATCGTCAGGGTCATGAATAGACTTTGAGTCAACAATCATAGTTTCTAGTTCCAGCACTTTTTAGCATCATGATCTTCCTGCTATGTGACCTTTGACAAGTCCCTTCTCCAAAGGGTCTGGGGTTTCCATGTGTGAAAAGGAGGGAGTGAACCCAGGTTTCCGCCGGCTTGGCACTCCCTGAGCACTGATTCCCGCCAAGTTCTCAGTGACTTGGTCCCCTGGGTCAGCATGGCAAATACCTGGTTTGTCCAGCAGGTGGAGGCAGAGACCCCAGGCGCTGGAGGGAGAGCAAACCAGACTCAGAGAGAGCAGCAGCTCACTAGCTGAGCCCCAGGAGGTAGGGTGGAATTGGAGGTTGGGGGGAGGAGCGTGAGGAGGGGGCTGAGAGGAGAAGTGCAGAGGGGCAGGGGAGTCGGGAGATGCCCATGGCAAAGGGAGGCAACGAGAGGCCTGAAGTAAGACCAGTGGAGCACTGCTAGGTGCCAGGCACTTTCTACTCTTATCCTAGCTATTCTCACAGCCTCCCAGAGCTGAATATTTGATAACCAGCTCATGGTCACACAGATGGTGAGTAAAGCAGCCAGGATTCAAACCAGGTCTTTCTGACCCCAAAGCCTGTGACCTTCCTCCTGCATCACCCTGGGACGGGAGCTTTTCGGAGAAATGGAGAACACAGAAACACCAGACTGCAAGGAACCAGACTTTCGGGGCACAGCAAGCGGGGAAAGGAAAATCCCAGTGCCCAGAGCCCCCAGGCACGCAGAGGGGCAGGGACCAGGGCGCCAGATGCCTTACCTGCCCACCCCTCTCCAGCCCTGGATGCTCCAGCCAACCCAAGGGAACACACGGTCTCCACAGGAAGGGAGGCCTGCATGGGGAGCCCAGCCCAGGTCTTCTCCTGACTTGCTGGGTGGCCCTGCCTTCTCTGGGCTTCATCACCTCGCCTGCCTGGTGGGAGTGATCCCCCACCACCTATTTCAAGGCACAGCTTGGACCGCATGAGGCCCCTCCAGGCTCTGAGGCGGCTGACCCCAGAAACACCCTGGTTACCCCCAACAGCCAGCCCCCTTACCTCTGCGGGCCACGCTGAGGAGGGCCTCCTGGCTAAAGCGCTGGTGGGCTGAGTTGGTGGCCACGCAGCGGTAGGAGCCTGCGTCACTCTCCTGAACGTCCAGGATCTGGAGAACCCCGTTGGGAAGAGTGATGAGCCTTGGGAAGGGGAAGAGGGCACCCGTGAGGTGGGCAGGAGCTCTGCAGGGAGGGGGCATGCCCAAGCCGGGAGTCCTCTACAACCAGAAATACCCACAGTGTCTCACTTTCACGTTCAATTTGTAATTATAAAAATGCAAATTAGAACTATACCATTTTCACCTAGCAGATGGGCAAAGGTCAAGAGGCTTAATAACACCCTACTTGGATGAAGGAATGGGGGGAAGGCAGTCCTGTCTTGTCGGTCGCCATGCCATTCAATACACCCTCTTCCAAGGGCAAACTGGTGATGTGTTAAACTCAAACAGGCTCCTGCCCTCAGCAGCGCCGCTTTGAGGACCCTATCCTGCAGATATTTTCATGCATGAACACAAAAATGTATGTTTAACATAGTTCATTCCAGCACTGTCTTTAATAGCACAAGGCTGGAAACAATCCAGTGTCCATCTGCAGGGTGGGGACTAGCTAAATCAGTTTGGGTATATTCATACAGTGGAACGCCAGGCAGCTGTTACGAAGGAGGCAGCTCCATGTGCGCTGACATAGGAAGAGCTCCGAAAGGTGTACGGTGTGGAACAGCGTGCGAGGGGATATGTACACGTATACGCTGGCACTGAGTGTCCCTGGTGACGGTAGTTGTCTCTAGGGAGGGGCCCTGGGATCCTGGGAGCTGAGAGTGGGAGAGAACTAACTTTTTTCTATATAGCCTTTTATACCTCCTTCCTCCCCTAGTAAAGACTCTTTTATTCACACCATCTCATCTGACCTCAAGACAAGCCCAAGAAATGGAGGGGATCACAACCTTCACTGTACTGGTGACAACACGAAGGCTGGGAGAGAGTAGGGTAATTTCCTAGGGTCTCACAGGTGGAGCAGAGCTAAAAATGGAATCCAGGTCTTCGGGTACCAGATCCCACGTTCTTTCCACCCGCCTGTCTAGGCAGCCCTTAGATGGCTGAGAATGACAATGGAAGGGAGGTCTCCAGCAAGCCCCGACCACCATGCACAGTACTGAGGAGGAGCAGGGTGGCTGAGGGTGGTGTTCTCTGCCCTCCTGGTTGGAGGGGGAATGTGGCTCAGGATAGGAAAGCCGAGACCTTGCTGGAGGGACACAGCAGTCCAGGGCAGGGCGGCATCCACGGGTGTGGCTTCTGGTCCAAGCAGGGAATGAGTGGGTCCTCCTGGACCCTCCCGTCATGATCCCTGAATGGTCAGCTCATTTCTAATTTCTCAACAGAGCAAACAGTGCTGACCCCTGGGTTGGGTTGGACCAAGGTCAGAGAGGAAATAGGGCATCTGTGCACTCGGTGAAGAAATCCTTTAGCTTGTGGCGAAACAGGGTATAGTAAAATCTAAACACAGGAGATTAGAACTAGCTCAAGGGTGTTGGGAGAGAATTGTGGCCACAGGTCTGGAAACCTACTGCAGCCCAGAGACTTAGAGAAAAAACAAGCCCGCATCACTCCCTTCCTCACCCCAAAGGCAAACCCTCCTGCGCGCCAGCGTCTTACCCTCAGCTCCAGTAGCCGCCCACGTCCATGCTAGGCCGGGGGAGAGAAGGGACAAGGAGGCAAAGGGTAGCTGGAGGTAGAATCCTGGGCCATGACTCAGCCTGCAGCCACCACAAATTTGATGGGAAAGGCTAAGTGGGGAAGGACAAGTAGGACTCGTCTGGGAAACAAGGCCCCCATCACCACCCAGATCTCTTCCACCAGATACACTCTGTCTTCGAGACCCTCTGTCTGCCCTCGGTTGAGCTAGCAGACTCTGCCTGCAGGTTCCTGCCAGGAGCTGCCCACGCTTCTGAACCCCAGAGCTCCTTGGTCTCTGCATGGAAATTGTGCTCCAGGTACCCAAGAGCTAATACCTCCTTTGACAAGTAACATTTCCTTAGTTATGTGGGAGAAAGGAAGGAAGGAAGGAAGGAAGGCAGGAAGGAAAGAAGGCCTTTCCTCGAAGCGCTGTTTCTACAGCTAACAGAGCAAAATAGAACTGCTGCTAGTGTTCATCTAAAATCTTTTCTGTTTGGTTAAAATGTGTTTTTAGAATCTCTGTCCTTGGATAGATGTCCAAGAGATATATTGGTTAGTGTGGAAAACAGTCACAGGACAGTGTTTATGAAGCGATTCTATTTCTGGAACACAAATGATATGTTAGGATATACATAAAAAAATCAAGGGGGTGAAAGCTCCCATCACTCACAGAGGTTTTCTCTGAAAGTGGGATTCCTGGGGACTGACTTGTTGTGTTTTTAAAAAAATTTTGCTGTGAATATTTATTTGTTTGGAAATATAAAACTTTCAAAAATTTAAACTGAAAAAAGCATGTGCTCTTGCACGCTTTGTTTTGTAACTCCGGGTCTGTGGCATAGTGGAGAGAGCTGGCTCCCGCACATGTGATTTTAGCAAGTGACATCACATAGTTCTCACCTGAAAAATGGGTTAAGTAATTTCTGCCCCGCCTTCTTCACCATCCTGGCCCTCATGAGCTCACATTAGGTAATAGACACAAACGCTGCCCATGTATCGCAAGCCCTAAACACATCTTTACAATGGTGTAATCTGTACACATACTTAAAAAGACTGGAAGTAACACTCAAAATGATGATAGTTGTCTATGTTCAGGCGATAGGTGATATTTTTCCCCATTTAAATTAGTGCATTTTACCATTTAAGCATTTAATTCAAATTTCAAATGAACAAAACAGCTACCTATAGAATGAAAAGAAACCTCTATCCAAAAGGGAAGGACTCACTCTCTTTCCAAGCCTGACCTGGAGCCTGCTGCCCCACTTCCCCAAAAGGCCACTTGGACCCAGGGATTCAAGAACACAGAAGAAATGACATAGCTGCTCTGAATTTCCTGAGGGCCAAAGAGCTCCCACCCTAAGCCCTATGGAGACCCCCCCGGGGAAAAAGGACACTAGCTGAGGGTCACACAATATTGACAGGCTGGATGGACACTGGGAGATGGGCAGGGCCAAAGACTGGCCTCGGGAGGCCACGGTTGTTAAGTCCATTCGCGCCGTGTTTTTAAAGTGTGAGTGAACGGCGATAACAAAGGAGTTTCAAATGGACCTAGACACACATTTTTTTATTCCAGGAGTTATGTATTTATTTTTATGGCCACCTTCTATTTATGGTAAGTGTTGCTGGTTTTCCATTTTATTGCAGTGAGATAACGTTCCTTTCAGCATGTGTTAAGTTACACAAGAGAGAGTTGATTTAAAGAAATGTATTAAGTCGGTGATTGTATAAATGGTTTAGGGATAGCCAAAATTATAAAAGGGGTTTATGAATGCCTAGACTTTGGAAAACATTGCTCTCATTGATGACTAATTCCCATGGAAGAAAAATTATCCCCTATCATTAGAAATTAGTATAAGTACCATGGAATTGCCTTAGGGTCTAGTCTTCACCAGCAGTTTCAAAAATATACACACATACCCTGACAGAATGTGTTTATTAACTGCACGTGTGCACACCCTATACCGAGGCATATGGTCTCCTTCAAACCACTGGACCGAGTTTATGAATAGCATATTTGTACATGTACTATATCTGGGCATGTGTAAAAATACATACCTTGGGCATAATCAAGTTGCTGTTTTAAACATTTCTTTATTCCCCCCACACAATGTGCTGGGACATGTGAGCCCGGCTTATTTATAGATGAGGATCACTTTTCAGAGGACTTGGGGGCAAACACTCCCAGAGCTCAGGAACTGGCAGCTCCAGGCTCCTGGGAGAGGCCTGTGGCTTCATGGAATGATGCCTGAACTGGATGTGGGGAGGCGAGGTCTGAATCCCACTGTTTGCTGGAAAACTTTGGGGAAATAACTTCCCTGCTCTGTGCCGCAGTTGGACCACCCCATCTCTAAGCCCACCTGCAGCAGGAACGTCCTCGGACGCTGTAGCTGTTCCCCCTCAACCACTAAGTCACAAGGGGCTTGTGTATCATCCATGCCAGAGCCATGGCATCCAACGTTCTGAGTACCAGCTGTGTGACCTGGGCCAAGGTATTTCTGTCTCTGATCCTTAGTTCCCTCACTTAATGATCTGGATAATAATATCTGCCTTGGCATATGTACAGACCCGGAAGGATGTTTATTATGTGTTAAGTGGAAAAAAGTAGAAGTTGAAATATAATCCCATTTCTGTTTTGGAAAAAAAGGCGACTGAACAAAAAAAACAAACAAACAGTATGTACAATCTAAATTTTTAAAGAGAATTTTTATAAACCCGAGTATAGGGGAAAAGTCCAGAGGACTGACATCAAAACTAACAGTGGCTTTCTATGGGTGATAGGACGATGAGGGATTCTTGTTCTTTTTTATTTATATGAATTTGAAAGATGCATCTTCTAGGAATACACACTAAAAGAGGACAATATGAAAAATAAGAATGCCTACCTTGAAGGATGATGGGAATGATTAAGTGAGAAACCACAGCTCTCATTAAGTGGTACCTGTTGTGACTTTGAGCGCGGGGAGATTTTTCTGCTCTCCTCCATTCTCTCTGGGGGCTGCCAGCAGTAGGCTCTCACTTGGGTCTTGCCTGGCCACTCCCAGGAAGCACCCGCCAAACAGCAGTGGGAAGCCCCACATTTGGAAGGCATAGACCTTAAAATGTCAGTATTCCCATGGTCCACTCCCTAGAATGCTCATTCACGGAATGCTGCAAGAGGGCATCTGGGGAGATGAGTCTAGACAGTCTTTGATTAAACAAATTGAACAGGTTTTCAGGACAGGACTTCTCAGTGCCTTGTCAACCCCCAGAGAGAGATTTATAGGCAGTTTCCTGACCTCAACTATAGAATCGTTTGTTTTTGTTTTTTTTTTCAAAAAGCCTCTTTACGGACTAATTTTTACAAAGAACATACTTTGGGAAACCATGATCTAATCCAACCCTTTTATTTTTATTTTCTCCTTTAATTTTATAGATGGGGAGAATGAAGCTGAGTGAGAAGTGACTTGCTGAGGCCCAATGAGGCTAACTGATCACCAAAGTCAACAGGGTCGCTTATATCTTGACCTCTCACCCTTCTTCCTCCTTCGCAACTGTTACAGAGACCTGTCCTATGGCTTCTCTACCTAAAAGTTCCTCCTACGCTTCCACCCCTACCTAGATAGGGGCAAAAGTTAGGGGAGCTGGGACAACCCAGCACACTCAGGAGAGGTTAGTCCCAGGGCAGGGAGATCTGAAAACCAGTGCTTCTGAGCCTCAGGAACCCTGCCTCCACCAGGACAGAGTCACGTGGTCACTACAGCTGGAGAGATTCAGGGAGAGGACTGTAAAGTGGCCTGGAAAGACTTGCAGAGCCACATTTCCAAAGATGAAAGAAAGCAGGAAGTGACCCCCAAGCCATGAAATCAACTCAGAGACCATAGATGCGAATGAGCCAATTGCTTTCTGGTCATGCTACCAGGAGGCCACGAGAAGGTCTAGACTCTGCTTCGTCTCCCTTGGCGTGGCTCCAGGGCCCGTTGACTTTATGGGGAGAGAAGAGGCTGAAACAGGAAGGACCTCCACAACCCATTTATCTATCAGAGGCTGCACCCTACAAGATGGAGTTGAGAGAGGAAGAGAGGTAGAAACTCCAGAAGAACCTTGGAAAGGGGATACCTTTCCAGCGGCTCTGGGGCCTTGAACGGATGACAAACATTCTGCCAATGACTCATGGTGTGGCCTTGGATAAGCCACAGCTCCTCTCTGGCTCTCAGTCTCCTCCATAAAGCAAGTGGTGGGACTAGAGATGCTCTCAAGGACTCTATGACTACTCCCTACCCAAGAACCAAAGCGTTGGAGGTGGCTTTCCTCCCAGGGAGAAAAGACTTCTTGCCCGACTTCTCTTTGGGACCAGACGTGAGCTGAGAGTCAGGCAATGAATGGCTCCTAAGTCAGTGTGAGCAAACGGAGCCACCCAGACTCTAAGAATCCCTGAGCCCTCCCCGGCCCGCCCACGGGAACCCACTCTCCACGCCCCTACAGTGCACTCACCGAGGCTCCTTAGGCACTGCCACCTGGTCCTTCTCCCAAGTAATGATGGGTGCTGGCAGCCCTTCAATGTGGCACTCAAATCGAGCTGTCCCATTCTCCTCCACTGTCTGAGACTCCGGGTGTAGAGAGAAGCCTGCGAGTGCTGAGGATGAGGACAGTGACACACAGAAAGGACAATGAGGACAGTGACACACAGGCAGGGACAGGAGAGGAGCAGGGGAAGGGAGGCCACCACGAGCAGACAGTGAAACACACACACACACGTACATACACAACACACACAGAAACATGGGGTTTTAGAAACACAAGCAGAGCAAACCCAGAGCACCAGAGACACAGTTGGAGAGAGGCCCCCCAGAGGAAAAGAAGTGGCCATTTCTGATCAGATGCTGTGAATTCTGAAGTCGCCAGGCTTAACATCAGCATGATGGTCAGATTGGAGTAAGATACACATTTCTTCTGGCCTGAAAATTATTTCCTGGTGATCTGTGCCTCCTGACAGCCCTCCCAAAAGGTGGGCTGGACTCTCGACTTCACACGTCCCACCTGCTGTAGGGTGGGGAGCTCCCTGGGGAGGCACCTTTGTGCCCCTGACACTCTTACAAGCCTCTCTGGTAGGCTTCCTGGAGGAGAGCACAGCTTTAGACTCTTGAACTCCATGGGAAAGAAAAGGAGAAGAAACAGATGGGCGGGGAAATGGGACTAATGACCAGTGAGGCAGACATACCAGGGAGGGACTCACTGAGCAGGACAGGGGGCAGGGAAAGGGCGTCTGGGCTCAAGAGGCAGGGCTTTGTGCAGGTAACTAATCAGGATCCCACATCTCACGCCACAGGCTTCCTGGGTCTTAGCTCAGACCCCAGATACAAGCACTTACTGGCAAGCTTGACAACCGCAGGCTGGCTGGCCACTACTCCAAGGGGCCCACGGGCCAGGCAGGAATAGCTGCCCTCGATGACATCTGAGGCCCCAGGGGCCGCCTCCTCACTGCCATTGGGTGCTAGCGGCTGCGACAGCCACAGGGAGCCATTGGGTAGCAGGCGCAGGTGGCTGTGCTCCAGCAGGGCATCTCCGTCTTTGCTCCATGTGACGCTGGTGGGGGGTCCGGCAGCAGCGGTCCCCAGACTACAGTCCAGCACCGCCACCTGCGCTGGGCCCAGAATCACTCTCACGGGCCCCGCTCCACAGCTCAGCTCCACGGTTGTCTCCTGGGGTAACGGCGACTCCCCTGCGCAGAGAGGGTACCAAGGCCGTCAGTGTGTGTCCTCCCACCTCCCACAGCCCCCGGCGCCTGAGTCGCCCACCCCTGGGCAGCTCAAGTTGTGGAGAAAGAGGTCTCAGGGAAAGACCTGAGCCTGGATCTTGGCCCTGTCCCTCGCTAACTGTGACCGTGCGCAAACTGCTGCACTTCTCCACGCCCGCCTTCCCCAGTTGCTCAGCACCCTCACCCACCGAAATGCTCAGGTCTTAACAACATTATTCGTAACAGACAATAAGTGGAAACGACCCAAACGCCCATCACCTGATGAACGGATAAATACATGACTCAGCCATGAAAAGGAATAAAGTACATGCTATCACGTGGTACATGCTATCACGTGGATGAACCTTAAAAACTATATGCTAAGTAAAAGAAGCCAGTCACAAAATGCCACATGTTATATGATCTCATTTCTATGAAATGTCCAGAATAGGCAAATCAGAGAGACAGAAAGTAGATCAATGGTTGCCAGGGGCTGGGGAGAAGGAAGAATGAGGGGTGACAGTTAAGGGACGTGAGGTTTCTCTGTGGGATGATGAAAATCTTCTGGAATTAGATAGTGGTGATGGCTGCACAGCCTTGTGAATATACTAAACCACTGATCTGTACACTTTGAATGGTGAGTTTTGTGGTGTGTGAATTGTATCTCCATTAAGAAGACACAGCAATGGCTTCCTGGCGGGGCTGTCATGAGCGCTGGGTGAGAGGAGGTGTGGAAAGGAGTCCAGCACAGTGCCTGACGTGGCACGGAATCGGAGCTCAGCAATGTCCCTCCCTCCCCTGGAGCCTTACAGCCCATCTGGACCACTCCTGCCCCAGTGGCCGGAGGAGCGAGGCACTCCTTCCTGCGGCTGATTTCCCCGAGACCACGCAGCGAGCCCGAGCCAAGCCCGTCTCCGGACACAGCCGGGGAGGGACCTTTTCTCTCCAGGGACCCCCAGAGCCTGCAGCTCCAGCCCTGCTCTTGGCACAAAGGGAAGAGGAGGGGAACAGTGGAGGGGTAAATGCCATCCCATGGTCAAAACTAAAACACGCAAAGGCCAATATTTTTACTTATATATTTAAAGATTTTGTTTATTTACTTTTAGAGAGCAGGGAAGGGAGGGAGAGAAATACCAATGTGTGAGAGACACGTCAATCGTTTGCCTCTCACAAGCCCTCAACTGGGGATCTGGCCCACAACCCAGGCATGTGCCCTGACTGGGAATCGAATGGGCAAACTTACAGTTGGCAAGCCAGCGCTCAGTCCACTGTGCCACACCAGCCAGGGCACCAATATTTATTATTTTAACCAACATTTCAGCAGCGCCCAAGAACCATTATTCGTAGAGAAATGATTGGCTCTCCTGCTTGTGTCTCCCAGAAGGTTGACCTGCTGCCCCCTTGTCCTATAAAAGTTTCCTATGCTTTGGCCTGACTCCTTCCTTCCAGGCAGAATGGGGTATCTGAGAGTGAACCAGGGACCATGGCCCATGCTCGTTGCAAGGCAGGTGTGTGCCCACAGAGCCACGTGAGGCAAAGAGAAAGAGCAGGGGTCAGGGAATCAGGGACCCTCAGTTCTCGACTCGGCGCTGTCAGTCTAGCTGCGTGGCCTTGGGCAGGCGCTTCTCCTTCTCGCCTTAGGCTACTCACACGTAGCAGGGAATGTCTGAGAGTCTACGATTCTAGGATTATTAATGAACTAGACATACCTATGGCTGAAGAAACACAGAGCATCATCTAGACATACGCAAATTGTAAATAAAACCTTCCACACCCGAACACATGCACCCACACTTGCCAAAACCTGGACACACATACCCACCCACACTCAGAACCCCCATCTGTCCCCAGGCTCCTTACCACCCTCAAAGAAGAACAAGGCTGAGGGGGAAGCCCTGACTGGCTAAGATAAGGAGGCCAGGGCAGAAGCCAGGGCTCTCATGCTGCAGCGTGAAGGACAAGACAGACAGACAGGGCCTGAACCAGGCCTCTGCCTTTGTTAATCTATCAGAAAGGCTCTACTGGCGCCTCCAGCTGCACCGCTAGGCTCAGCATTACCAGTGGGTGCAGGGAGGAGAAGGCAGCCCTTGCCCTCACCCAGTTTCCACTCTAATCCATTCTAATCAGAGAAACCAAATTGGCATTCGCATCATTGCAAGCCATTTGTTGTGGTAAAAAGAACATTTGACCTCGGTATAGAAGATCAAGGTTTCGATCTTGTTCTTCCACCTACCAGCTGCGTGACAAGCCACTTAACCTCTCTGGGCCTCAGTTTCCACAGCTGTAAAGTGAAGATGATCTCACCAGGCTTGGGAAGACTGAACAGGATGAGGTCATCCAGGGCTCCAGCTCAGAGCCCAGCAAGCACCAATAAAGGAACGGGAGCTCACTATTTAAAGGCACTGAAGGGGCTGCATAAATGCTAATCACTGTTCTTCACATCCAGCCCTTACTATCTCTGAGGCCCTAGATTCTAGGATTCAAATGCAGGCAAGTCCGGGCTCTCAGCCCAGAGGCTTCCAATTGCCCGGTCCCAGCCACTGATCAGGCAGTTTGAGTTTCAGGGGAGAAAAGCCCCACATGACACGAATCCCTGAGCCCTCCGGCAGCCTCCCCACCCCCCAAAGCATGTCCGGGGCTTGGAAAATCCCCTGCCGCGTTGAACAAACAATGTGAACAGTTGGGGCCCGAGCAGCTGCTGGGTATGTCAGCAGCCTGGGCTCTGGCAGGCAGGCTGGCGGCCAGAGGGGCCGGGAGGCTGGCTGGGGAGCCCAGAGGAGGCTCCGATTCCCTTCCTGAATATTCATGGATCAGCAGATGTCTGGCTTCCCCACCTCTGAGGAGCCCAGCAGCACCCAATAAGGCGGAACAGGGAAACCAACAGGGATGTACACACAGAGAGAACACAGGAAAGCGCAGGGCTGTGCCTGGAGCCCGAGCCAGCCCATGTTGGGAAGCTTGGGATCCCTTACTTTATAGTTGGGGAAACTGAGGCCCAGAAGGTGAGTCTCAGCTCTCTGCAACGCAGTTGCTGCTGAACAAGAGGTTTTTCTCTGCCTCAGTGCCCCACCTAGCTTCCGTGGTCAGGACACTCATCCTTGGGGCCCAGCTCGGGCACCAGCCCTCCGTGACGCTGCCCCGTCTTCCCCAGTGAAGTTTTTTTCTGAGTCTGACATCACGCAGCCACTTGGAAATCCACCCTTCCTCCTGCCCAGATGGACAATGGGACTTGGTAGAACAGGCCTCGACCTAGAGTCAGAGTCCTGAGTCCATGATTGGTTGTATGACCTTGGGTCCACTACTTTCCTCCTTTCCGCCTGAATTTCCGCAGTTTTAAAAATGAAGAATCTCCACATTTCTCCTTTCCACCCAAATTTCTCCCAGCGGCAGAGAGCAGCGCACTCAAAAGGCTTGCTAACTGCCAGAAGTGGTTTTATTTTCAAGCTTTGGAACATTCTGCATTCTGCTCCATCACACAGAAATGTTTGTTTTAATACAAACGTGGTTCCTACACCACCAAATCTTTTCATAAAACCCATGCTCTGGGGAGTAGGCCTTGTTTGTCCAGTGGCTTTGTGGCCACCCGTTTCCTGCCACCCCCAGACCACTGCCATGGCTGACCCCCACAGCCCGTCCCAGAAGCATTTCTCAGCTGTCTCTCTCAGGGCTGCGGCAGACACAGTGGACGCTTGCTGCCTGCCAGCTCTCTGCCTCGAGGGGGCCTCCCTCTCCCACAGTCCTCCTCTGTCTCCTGCACGAGACCCTGCTGGAGACACAGAGCTTCGATGCTTGGCCATCTCTCAGTCTCCTTTCCTGACAAATTATCATACCCATTTACCGGAAGAGTTAGATTTTTATGAGACCAGTTAGAACCAGGACAGAAAGGAGATGAGCTGCTGAGCCCTGGGTCAGCTCGGTGCTGTTTTGCAGGATCAGTACAAGCCTGGCTCACGCCAGGGTTCCATTTGTCAGGAAAGCCTCAGGAAGGACGTAGGTGGGGGGCAGGGAATAAAGCGGAGATGCCTCCCTAATGAAGCCAAGATCTTGCCACAAATATCAATGCCTTGTCACTTCTGAATTTCAGGGCCTGAGAGATTTACAACTTGTTTTGGATTTAGGGCAATTCTCCATGACACCATCACCACACTTTCCCAGGAGACACAAGTCAGTTTTTTCCAAACACCTCCCTCCCTGCCCCCCACCTTGGCTACCTCCTTAACCACACACTAAGCCTCTCCCACTAACAGCTGGAAGGAGAGCTTGGGATGGTTGCCTGGGACACAAGGAAAGCCAGAGCACCCCCTTCAGCCAGCGTGACAGCAAAGCCACACTCAGCTGCCTACCTCCTGTTCCGAGACCTTCTGTCCCCACCAGACCAAACCACTTCCAGTTCTCTGGGAGCACGTTGCCTTGCGTTGCGCATGCTGCTCCCTCTCCCTACAACAGCTAGGCATCCAGGGCCTGATTTAGACAGCTTTCCTTTTTCTGCCCCAAAGGACCCTGGGTACCTTGATTGCTGCAGTCATCACCTAGATTTCTGGTTTGCCTTTTTCCCCAACTAGGCCACAAGCTCAAGATTATGTCTTAGTCAGCTTTCTAAATCCCCGGTATCTAAAACAATACCTGACACATAGTAGGTGTTTAGTAAATATTCCTTGAACACATAAGTGCACATAGGGAACACACTCAAAAAGATACGGCCCCGAGCCCCTCATAGTTTTCCAAGCGTCGATCTCCTTATCTGTAAAAATTACAGAACTCCCTTCAGGGCTGGAGGTGATGTGAGTAACATATGAAACTATCTAACATACTATGTGGCACCTAGTAGACACCTAACAAAATGCTTAAAAAAGCACAGAGACAGAACAGCAAACTCACACTGAAAAACTCTGTACTTAAACATTGCCAGGACGAGGGAGCTCACTACCTCACCCCTTCTGCTATATGATTTGTGTGATTAAAAATGTCTTCCTCTTGGGCCCATTTTTTTCTCCCTGTAGGCTCCTCTCATTTGCCAGAGCTCTGTCCTCCAAACTCCATGACAAAGTAATGACTCCCTTATCGAACCATCCAGAAGGTTTGTCTCTGCACCACCTTGCACCTGAGGGAGCGCTTACTGACCCCTTGCTTCCCTGGCCCCAATGACCGCACAACCCTCATAATCAAAGGATGGCACAGCCTCAGCAGTAAGGCAGTGTTAGCTGGCAGCTGAGCTGGACCAGGGACAAGGGTTCCATTTCTCTGCATGTCAGGCCCAGAACATCCTTTCTGGTTTTCCTTCCCCTACAGCTCCCATCACCCCCCTCTGACGAGGCTGGGGCTGGGGTCCTTCCCAATTAAAGCTGCTTTTACTCTTCTCTCCCCCACCCCAGGGAGCTGGGAGCCCCCAGGCAGGCCTGGCCATGACATCTGTTCTGCATCTGGAATTCTGTGTCAAATCTGGTTGCTGTACCTCAGAAACAGTGGAGGCTGAACAGGAGACAGTGCAGGAGGGGATGGGCGGAGGAGGGCGGATTCCAGAGCCCAGACCCACCGACTGAGGGGGGCCAAGCCCAAAGCTGATCACTTCTCATGTGAGGGGGAGGGGGTGCCAAGAGATTGAACCGGGGTACGTATGTACCAAACCCCAGGAAAGTCTGGCTGCTCCCTCCGAGAGCCAGGAGACTGGTTCCAGCCCCAGCTCAGTCACTGTCCATGTAACTTTGGGAAGTCGTTCAGTTTTCTTATCTGTAAAATGAGTTCATGCTAAAATTATTTCTAAGTTCCTTTTAGTGCTGACATTCGATGATGCTCTTAATTGTGAGATCACTTAACTTGAAAGAGGTATCTTGAGGATAAAAAAAAGGAAATGCTAATTTATACATTATGGGTGATTAACAGGGACATGAAAGTACATACGGGATCAATGAAGGCTGAGATAACTTCCGGGTAAGATTTACTATTTAGAGAAAGCACATTTCACCTGGGGGTCAAACTCTAAGAGGGGGTCAGAGAAGGCCACCCCAACACTTCAGCTGACAGGTCAGCCTCTGAGCCTCCAGACTGAGAAAGGGGTGGGAGGGTGGCAGTTTCTGGGTGAGAAGAAAGCAGTTTTCATGTTCTTAGAGGCCTTCTATTACTGACTTCTGCCTTCTCCGCCCCCCAAATTTAGATTGGGTGAAAGGGAGAGCCCCACTTTTTGCATATCAAGAAAACAGCACTCTAAGCATTCCAGCACCAACTCCATTCCTAAAAAATGTCTCCCCAGGTCCCAGTCCCTGACTCAGGGAAATCCTGACCCCAACACCAGCCCTTGATTCTGCCATGATGAGGTTGCCGAAGTGTCTGTTATTTTTTACTTCCCTTTCCCTCACCCCCTACAAACTCAATTTGTTCCAAGTCCTATTGATTCTACTTCCTAAATATCTCTAGGATCCAGCTACTCTGGCCACCCCAGACGCCACTGCGCTGGGTGCCCCCATCCTCTTCGGGATTACCGCGACAGCCTCCCAAGAAGCTGGAGCTTCCTGCCTCAGCCCTGGCCCAATCGATTCTCCACACTGGCTGGAGTAAGCTGATGCAAAGCTCATCTGAAAACCCACCAAGAGCGGCTGGGGTCTCAGAAACCCTGGTGGGGCTTCCAAGGCCAAACCCCATGCTCCCTTCACACTCCACGGCCGTCCCATCCTTCGCCCAGCTGCCCCACTCTCACCCTTTGTGCTCTAAACTCCAACTAGATTTAGCTTCATTCAATGGCCTAAACTAAGTCACCTCTGAGCACTCGCACATGCTGTTGTCTCTGGAAACCTTTCCCCATCATCACTCTCCTGCAGAGCTAACTCAGGCTCTGCATTGGGCTCCATTATTCACTGCTTCCTGAAGGCAACCTTTTCTGACCTTTCCAGAGTACCTGTCAGTCACCTCCCCTACTCTGCCCCTCTGGAGTGGAAGCTTTGCACCAGGGATCAGGTAGGTCTGCCTCCTTATTTACTATGTTCTAGGCACCGGGTGCATTCTAGCCGCGGGGGGAAAAAAAAGAGTGTCCAGTAAATATTTTTGAATGAATGAATGAGTGAATGAGAGACCTTGGTCCCGATCACTGTGGCTAGTCAGAACTCTATAGGAGTGTCCCAGGCCTGCTGAACTTTGCACAGGTTTGGGACTAAAGGCTGGTAGAGTAGTTGCTTTAGCCACACACACTGCTGTCAAGGAAGCCCCAGATCTGTCCCTGCCACTGCCTTGTGCACTCCGGAGCAGAGAGGCCAGGTCTCCGAGGCAAACAGAGCCCCTTGCTAGCGGCCCCAACCTGTGTTCTTAATGCCCGAGTGCACTTCCCAGCCCCGGTCCCGCTTGTTGGGTGACACTGAGCCCGTGTTTGGAGCTCTCGGAAAACCAAGGACAGCGGGCACAACTATTCCATAATCTCCCGAGTTTCAGAGGGTGTGCCCTTGCCCTTTTCACCTGACAACCCTGAGCGCCCCACTCCCCTGGGCCAGTCTTGGGACCCTGCCCCCAGGCAGCCTCCTGCCAGGTGGGCAGTCAGCCTAGAAAGGGGCGTGTCTTTGTAGCGGGAGAAGGGGTCCCAGCAGTTTCCCCGCACTTTTCCACCCGTTGTTTGGGTTTCCTGGAGATGGGCCTAAGGCCCGCCAGGCGAAGGTTCCTTCCCCCTCCGCCATCCCTGCTCTCTCCCACGTGGCCTGGCTGAATCTCTCTGGAAAGCCGCAGCAGCTGGAGAGAAATCCCCCTCCCCACCCCCACCTCCAAGTCCCTCCCCGACTCGCCCCGGACGTATCCTCAGCTCTCCCCTCGACAGGGAAGGCAAGAACTGGGCTAACAAAGCGGGCAGCCCTTCCCCCTCCCCAGTCCTTCTACCTACCTTCCCCTTGGGCCGTCCCCAAACGCATATGGGGCAGAAAGCGACAGGGCTGGAAGCGCAAGCAGGAGGCCAAGGCATAGAGACTCAGGACTCCGTCACCCCATTCCCAGCCCTTTTTCCAGCGTGGGCAACTCTGACTCCTGCCCCGACCCTGAATTGAGGTGGGGGGCGGGTTGGAGAAGGCCTTGCTGACCTCGTCCACGCTTCCCAGATCTGCTTCTGGCGGGGGAGGGGAGGCAGGAATGACACGCGTCCCATCCCCACAGCAAGGGTTGGATATGTCCACAAAAGCAACTGGTTTCCTGCCCCTGCAGGCCAGGGGTTTGGGGGAGCAACACTCCCCCCACACATACGCCAGCCCCAGAGACCACACCCACTGGGCAAAGTTGAGTGTTTTACTACCACTAACCCTAGTCAACCAGAAATCTCCTGCTCTGTCGTGCCCCCACCCCCGGCAAGGGCACTCCCCAAAAGCCAAGGCCAAATATTAGCTCAGCCCCATAAACACAATTACACACGGTCTCGACACAAATGGAGGCGCAGACACTCACCCCCACAACCCTCTGCTTTCACACACACACACACACACACTCAACGCCGATACACGCGCGGTCAAGGCAGAGCCCACCCCGCGCAAGTCACCAACACCGCAGCCACAGCCCCGCGATGCCACGCGGAGACTGGCACGCACTGCAGACACGTATGCCCGCAAAAGCCCCCTCCCCACCTCTGCAAGCACGCGCGCGCGCGCGCGCGCACACACACACACACACACACACACACACTCAGTCACTCGCTCGCTCGCTCTCTCCGGACTCCGAAAACCAAGGACACACACCCCCTGCGGACAAGTAAGAGCCGCAAACGTCCCCGGTCTCTGATCGCAAACCCTTAAGCGCAGGTATCCCAGGGACCGGGTTGCGTAGCCCACACACCACAGACCCCGTACTTGCTCCGGACCCGGGATGCACACCAGTCCCACAGCCCCGCGCAGCCCCTGGTGCGGGCGCACCGACACACCGCAGCCGCTCCGGCCATGGGCGCGGTGCCCGCCCTTACCACGCGCGGCCAGCAGGCAGAAGGTCAGCGCGATTAGCCCGCCGTGGCCAGCGTCCCCCTGCGCCATGGGGCCGGCCCGGGCCGCTGCCGCCGCCGCAGCCGCCGCCGCCGCCCCGCGCCTCGGCTGCCGCCGCCGGGGGAGGGCGCGCGGGGCGTCAGTGGCCCGGGGAGGCGCGGCGCCGCGGGCGGGGGCGCGGCCTCGGGGGCCCGGGCCCGAGCGGGGGCCGGCGCGGGGGCCGGGGCTGCGGCCGCCTCGCCCGCCCCTCCATCGCCATCTTGGGCGAGCAGCCGAGGGCGGGGGTGCGTCTAGCGAGTGCGGGAGCCGGGGCTCGGGCACCGTGACCCTGCAGCGCGCTGAGCTCTGCCCTCCTGGGGTCTGCGCCACAGTGCCTGGCCGTCTCTGGGTTGTCTTGGGTCCCTGTTGGGCCGCTTGTTCCTGGATTTGTCTCTTAAGTCTCTCTGTTTCTGGGTCCATGGGTCTCTCTACCTTGCTGTCTTCGTTTCCTTTCCCTGGCGCTGCCTCAGGGCCTTCCCCATCTCCGTTCCAGGCTAAATGGAGGCAGGTTCAAGGCCCCGGTCTCTGTCCCGATGGCTCATCTTGCCCTCGGATCCCAGTCCATTCCAGCCCAGGTCTGTCGTGAATCTGGGTTAGCTTTTCCATGCACTGCACCAACAGAACCACTGAAGATATGACAGTTCCCACCTGACCCCCATTTCCATTGCCTTCCCAGGCTGGAGGCTTCTCTTGGCCTCTTTCCCCTGCTCTTGCGATAACCAACCCAGGTAGGACATTGACTCAACACTGAGCCCTGTCACACTCAGACGTATCTGCAGTCTTGAAAGGGACAAAGAAAGTTTGGTGGTTTTCACTTTACACATAGGGAAACTGAGGCTGGAGGAGGTCAAGACTTGCCTATGGACATGAGGCCAGGGAGCAGCAGATGCAGGACCAGAACTCAGGCTTTCTGACTCCAGAAGGTTATTTCCTACTCATTCCTCAACTGTGCCTTCTCTATCCTAGTCAGACTGGTTGCCTCAGTATCCCATAAATATTTCTTGCTCTAAAGCCAGGGATTCAATCATCAGGCTACAGTGGGGAGAGGAGTACAGATTAAATGACCTATTTGAGGTACCTTCCAAGACCAAGATGCTGTGGCTCTTTATTCCCCATGTTTCCAGTGTTCCCATGACTTAGAGCCATGCTGTCTCTGTACCCAGTAGATAGATGCCTTACCCATCTGTTGCTGGCTAACCCTTAATAGTGACCTGTACTGTGCAGATCTAATGGGACCAGGAATTTATTCATTCATTGCCAGGCCCATCAGCAGCATTTGACTTAGCCGATCACTCCCACTTGCTTCTCTTGGTGATACCTGGTCATCAAGTCTTTACGTGACATCTTTATACTGAAGGTACCTGCATTTATAGCTCCAGGCTGAACCATCTCCCCCAAACCCCAGACTTACCCAGCTACCGCTCAACATAATCAATGGCTGTCTAATAGGCATCTCAAACTTAACATGTCCAAAATTGAGCTCTGACCTTCCTTATCAAACCTGCTCCTCCAGGTTACCCCATTTCAATTCCCAGCAGCCCTGTCCTTCCTGTTGCTCAAGTGGAAAACGCTGGAGTCATGCTGGACTCCATTTCCGCATCCTTCACGCTCTGTCTTCCCACTACCACTTTGGCCCAAGTACCTCTCGCCTGGATTTTTGCAGTCGCCTCTTCACCGGTCTCCTTGTTTCTGCCCCTATCCCCCTTCATTCTTTTCTCAATTCAGCATCAGAAGTGATTCTGTTAAAATGTGAATGAGATTGTGTCACTTCTCGGCTCAAAATCTGCCAGAGCCTCCTAACTCAGAGCAAAAGCCAAAGTCCTTATCATAATAGAAGGTCTGATCTGGGGGGCTGTTTTGCCTTTCTGGTCTTACCTCCTACACCATCCCCTTTGCTTACCACCTCTCCAGCCACACTAGCCTCATGGTTGTAACCTGATCATGAGCAGCCCCCTCCCTCCTGCCTCTAGACCTTTGCCCAGCCAGTGCAAGCCTGAAAGTCTGTCCTCCCCACCGCCGCCATCTTCACAACTTCCCCCACTCTGTCCCGCTTCTTTCTAACATGCTCTACATTTTACTTATTTTATTTATAATCTGTCAACCCCCTCAACCAGAATGAGGGCTTCATGAAGACTGGAATTTCTGTCTGTTAGTTCACTGCTGAATTCTAGGCATCTAGACCAGTATCTGGCACTGGATAGGTGCCAATAGCCAGGATAAAAGATATGTCACTACCCACAGGCACAGTAGTGTCCTATGTGGCATGGGGGAGCTGGGAGGATGGGAACAAGAGAAGGAAGGTGTGGTGGGGGTGTTGAGGAAGAAGCTGTCACAGAACTGTTGGCTGTTGTAGATGGTTGTCCTGGGACTTGGCAGTTTAAGGAGGTTAGAACCAAAGGGGTGGCAGGGAAGAAACACCCTTGGCGGAGGCCCGGTGGTGTGAGAGCACAGAAAGTATTCCGGAAATGGCAGAGCCAATAATTAACTGCGCAGATATTCATGGGTCACCTGCTGCGGGTCAGGCCTGCTCTGGGCACTGGGAACAGAGTGGTGAACATGGTTTTTGCCTGCATGACCCTTGGTCTTGTGAGGGAAACAGACAAGTAGAAAAGCAGCTATAATACAGTATGATACAGGCTGTGATGGGGCAGAGCAGGGAGAGGCACGCTGGCCAGACTTGGGGGGAAGCAGGGAAAGCTCTGGAGAAAACAAACACCTGAACCCAGTGTAAGCAAAATGTACGTGTGAACTGGGCAGGAAGGAGGGCAGAGGTGGGAGAGGAAGCCAAATGGGGAAGCTGGGACCAGATGGGGAAGGCCTTGTATGTTGCCTAAAAAGCAGTTGATGATTTGGCTCACAATTCAATGAAGGAAGGAAGGATGGAACAACATATCACCATACAGTGTCGCTGATTCTACAAGGCACACACAAAAATCCAACTCATTTCTGTCTTCGTATCTCGGCACGCGGGTGTGGAGCAGATGTGAAATGTGGCAGGTTCAGGCCCGCTAAATCAGGTATAAGGAATAAAAGGCGTGGCTCTTGTCCTGCCTCTGTTACTGATTTGCTTTGTGACTTTGGACAACTTCTGTCCTCTTCTCAGGCCTCAGCTTGGTCAGTGAGAAAGAAAAGGGGTCTGGGGTACGTATGATGCACATTTCTAACCAGGAATTCCAAAGAGTTCACACCATTAAAAGTAGATATGGCAGTTGTCTTAATTTCTCTCTTTTTAAATCAATCCATAACATACTCCCTTATTTCCCCCCTTCAAATGGTACCATGGAGTGCCTCCAAATGTGTGTAGGGTGTTCATGGGTAGAGGGCTGTGAAGGGCCCATGAACATGCTCAGATGAACATCATTAGCCACTGTCATGGGTTTTTACCATTAAAGAGCTTAAATTATTTTCCATCTTAGTTATGTATATATTGTTTAATTTATAGCCTTGTTGGACCATGAGGAATATATGACAGGAAGTATAAAGGAGCACTAAACTACAAAAATCTGATGCTGAGGAGAAAATGATAATTTTGCAAATTTGCCTCAAATTGATGGAAAAGAATGTTATAGTCTTCTAATCAAGTCATTAGTCATGAATATGTCAAAAGCCTTTTATTTTTTTTATTATTTTTTTTAGAGAGATAGAGAAAGGGAGGGAGAAAGAGAGGGAGAGAAACATCAATGAGTTACCTCTCCTAATTGCCCGAAACCCGCAACCCAGGCGTATGTATGCCCTGACCAGGAATCAAACCAATGACCTTTTGGATTGCGGGATGACACCCAACCAACTGAACCCCACTAGCCAGGGTGAAAAGCCAATTTTTAAAAAAATAAAATCTAGTGATAATTCAATCTATTTTGGGTTTTTGTTTACCAGAAAGGCAGACCTATTGTATCTAAATGTTATTTGTAGAGAAGCACTTACCAAATAGATATACTCTTTTATTTCACATTTCAGAATAAAACTAAAAATTTTTTTAAGATTTTTTTAAATTGTAGCACAAAATTGAATCATATCATGAAAGCAATTTCTGTGTATTTTTGACCCTGTAGTTAAATTTCAATGTATATTTGGTCCCCAAATTAGATATATAGTTTTGTTTGTTGACAAATCATATTGGGCTTTGGGGTTTTTTTTTTGCAATTAATTTAAAATCAGCACACATCATTTCTTAAATGGGGAAGACGATTTTCTAACTCACCAATTTTATTCAATATGTTTAAGTTCCCTTCCATTAACAATGTATTGTTATATATTTTTTTTCTTTGAGACAGTTTTAAGACAGAAGCAACATCTTGGGGACAGCTCAATGTAGGGGTTGAGAGACTAGGAAAAGTCTGGGGGACTATAGTTTTCATTGGTTTGACCCGTTGGATGGGACAGGATTAAACACAGAGAACATGGGGGAGAGAGAGATGGAGCAGAGGGAAGATAATCTGCCTTTTTAACATGGTATGAGGTGCCTCCATGGCATCCCAGGGAAGCTATTCAAAGGACCAGAAATACCGTTTTGATCTGAGCCGAGAGATTATTCTGTGAGCTGATACTTCTTCTATCAGAACATCTAATACACTTATTGTAATATTCTTCATTAAATTGTCTGGTTCTCCTGCTAGACAGCAAGCTCCTTGTAGCAGGGACTGTGTGCACCTGCCTGCCTCTTGTTTTCCTGGCGTCTAGCACACTGCACAGCATGTCCTGAAACCCCTGACGAATGTTTTTTTAAGTTTCTCTTTATTATATGCCATGCAAAAATGATGAAAGTTTTCGATCACTAAAGGAGTTCTCAAGAGAGTGTATTACTGTGACAGGGGTTTGGGCATCAAAAAATGTTGAGAGGCACTTGCCTGAGTAATCTCTGTGATCTTTATAGGCTCTGTGACACTAAGGCAAGCAGTTATGCACTTGTTCCGTAGGACCAGCACTGGGGGTCCGTGGCACTCATATCATTCTAGAATAGATGACGGAATCCACCATGGTGGGAGTTTAAAAATATGTACACAATCTCTTTGACAATTCTCCCTTCCACAAGTAGAGTCTGCTTCCCTGTCCTTTGAATACAGTCTGGCTTTAGTGACTCATTTCTAAAGGACAGAAGGTAGTGAAGGTGATAC